CTTTGAAATATGATTATTTTCCTTTTCTTTCTAGTTTTGTGTTTGTTTGGCACTCCAGCAAAATGAGTCAAGATTGATTTTTTTTTTTTTTTTATTTGATTTACTTCAGGTGATTTATTTGCAACACTGAAAGCTCAAATCAAGCACATTGCATTGTTGGGATACAGTATTGCATCATGCATTTTTCGCTGGTTCTATATATCACATTTTTGGCATAGTAGGTCCTCCAGATATTCTGTGCATATATATTCTGTATACAAAACACATACTATGAGTATTCTATTACAAAAACAGTGCAAGGACTGTTCAAACTATAGGAGGATGAGAATAAGGGTAGGAAAAGACAAGTCCTTTTGAGGATAGATGTTTAGATACGAGACAGAACAATGAGACCTATTGAGACGGTCCAGGCTTAGGATCCCAATAGAAAATCACTTTCAATCCAGAGCTTCATCTTTGTCTGGAAATCCAGCGTCTAGTGTTTGAGGCAGTTAGAGATCCACACCTGACTCCTGTCTGTAAAGTATGTTCGAATGGTTGTTCTCACAGTGCAGTCTGTAGTTCAGCAGTAATTTAAACAAACCTCATCCTGCCAGTAAGCTCTCTGTGTCCTAATAAAGGCAGAAGATGGAGACCAGAACGACTACAGAATGTAGTCTAACCGAACTCCTCCCAGCTGTGCTGGGACTGCAGGTTAAATGTATGAAAGGGAGTTTTTATAATATTCCAGAAGTGATTTGACCGTTTCTACTGATGTCTCCCATACAGAGATACTTTTTCTATTGCTTTATGATAATATTAGTCACGTGTCACAGCCTGAGGGTGTCTGTATACTTAAATTTGTACTTGTTTCTATTGCATATACCTGCACCGCACACAGCTTTACAGCGATTACAAGGGCTCGTGTCAATAAATGTCAAGAATAACAGCAGTGGGCATCTATGTTTGAGCATGGAGCGTTTAGTAATCTCTGGTCAGAGCATTTAGACTGAACTTTGTTGTTTTTGTGTGATGTCTGTTCTTCCCACAATGCTTTGAGGTGGCCCATCCATCGTTCAACTTTGTCTCATGTAAACAAACAAGATTGTTGCTTGGCAATGGCACTAGCAGTTCCTTGAGAGATGAATGTGTGAAATCAGTCTCGGTTTTGAATCCCGCTTTTATTTTGATGCTTTAGACTACGGATCTCACAGGTCAGTTTTTCAGCTGTCTTTTATTTTTCTTAGAAATTTCACCTATATACATTCAGCAAAGTAGTAGGCTATATGAAAATTCGATGTATTGTAAATAACACAATAATGCTTAAAATGCAGTTCAATACGAATCTGTTGATATAATTATTGTTTGATTATATTGAATCTCTCGATTCAGTGATTGAAATACAGAAAAGCAGTAATGGTGTGAAATATTATGCAACGCTGAATTTCAGCATTATTACTCCAGTCTTCAGTCACATGATACTTCAGAAATCACTCTAATATGCTGATTTGCTGCTCAGGAAACATTTCTTATCAATGTTGAAAACAGTTGTGCTGCTTAATATTTATATGGAAACTTTTTTTAGGATTCTTTGAATGGAAACATAATAACAGCATTTATTTTAAATAGAAATCTTTGGTAGCATTATACATTTCTTTACTATTGCTTTTGATTGATTTAATGCACCCTTGCTGAATAAAAGTATTAATTTCTAAAAAAAAAAAAAAAAAAACACACTGACCCCATACTTTTGAATGGTAGTGAAACACATTACTAGTTTGATTGAGAGACTGACTTGTGCATTATTGTTAAAAATCTGGTTATCTATGCAGAAAATGAATGAGACTTTTATCCTACTATTACACTTTATACAATATCAGATATGCACATTACATTATTATATTACTTTTATTGTTTCATCATCTCTCATTATAAGTTTTGTCCAGATATACTGCGTTATTGACCTATTACACAACCCACACTCATAGTCCTGCGTAACCAGCTACTAACCTCTAAATGACCAGAATAGACTCAGAGTCATAACTCCTTGGCTCACTGGAAGCATCGAGTCTAGTTATTTGTGTTTGTTTGTTTGTTATTTGTGGTCTCAATGTACTCTCTAATTCTGCAGTCAGGGCAGGTAAATTAGATATCTCTTTCTTAACATCAACTACTTGATCAAAACTACATACAAATATACATTGTGTTTATTGTGCAGTTTTGTTTATTTGTATCCTAGAATTGGCCAAGGGAGAAGGAAAAGTAGAGGTATGATTTCCAGGAGTGAAAGGAATATGATAGATGAGTGTGGTGAAGAGCACATGCACCGCAGAGCCGGATAAACATAAGTTAGCCACTCCTCCTTGAGGTCTCTCAGCCAATCACATCACACATTGCCTTATTAAGGGCAGCAGTGCTTGAGTGGTCCAGTAAGATGACAAGAGATGGACATGTTTGCAGTATTATGACGCTCTGGCTAGTATGGTCTGGGTTTTCTTCAAAATGCAGCAGTTATTATTTTTTTTTTTTTTACAGCTATTACTATGGCTGTGATATTTTAGAGCTCAAAATTCAAAATCTTTATACTTGGGTTAATCATGAAAACCCCTTTTTTTTGTATCAAGTTGTACCTTTTTGAAGTGTAATCGGATAGCATTCTGAATTGCATGATTACCATCAATCTCATGTATTAAATCACTCTAAATAAGGACTGAAACATTGTCAAGTTTGATGAAAACACATTGTGTGCTGTCTTGTTTTACATAATGTCCATTATACTGTGGCGTACAATAGAAATACTTTTAAATGTGCCAGTAAAAGCAGCTGTGTGAGGCAGCTAGTTATAAACATAACACTTCTTATGCCCCTTCTCATGTCATGGCTGAGTTTTACACGTTGTTTAGTGCAGTGCTTCTCAAGTATGTAGAGCTGTCTCACTACATACTAAGAAGCTGATTAGTGAGAAATATAAAACATTCTGGTAGGTGCATGGATCCCTGGGACTGGAGTTGGTTGTAAACACTGGTTTACTAAACCTCACAGGACCATTGGCTCTTGGTGCTCCCTCTAGTGCACACTATGACAATGTCAACTTATAATACTTTCACACCAAAGTTGTAGTGTTTTATTATGTTGTGTTGGCATATCCCTGTGTGGGCCTATTGCACTTTCATTCTGTGTGGTTGGTCTCACACTCTCTTTGTCTCATGCTAACAGTGATTTGCAGCAACAAAGCAATCGACAGTACTTTTCAGTGAGAGTTTTGAGGCAGTTTGATTGACAACAAGTGCAGACAAAGTGTGTTCACATAATTATGATGCAGTTGTCGTGTTTTAAATGTACGTTTTTCTTCATATATTTATATTTCATTTTTTCTTCTAATATTTATATTTTATTTCAGCTTTATTTGAACTGCTAAATTGTTTTTTTTTTAATTAGTTTTAGTTTCAGTTAAAAATAACAACACTGGCACTCAGTAATGTTGTCAAACACCTGTTTAGCGACTTTGCAACTAGGCAACAATTTCCAAGAATAATCATAATAGTTTGTCAATAAAATTAAAGCTGCAGTCCATAACTTTTGGGGCTCTTGCGGTTAATAAACAGAACTGTATGCGTCTTGCAGAATAACATTTATAGCCGGAGCTACTTCTCTCTGTTTATGTATGACGAGTCACGCAGGTACTGAGCTACTCCACATTGGTACGACCCAACCGGTCTAAAATTGTCTGAATATAAACACGCATTATAGGTGTACCATACAGTGATTCAGGATAATACAAAAAAAAAAAAAAAAATACGGTTTGGAAAATGGATTCATGATGTACTCGCTCATTTATTTTTTGTAAATTTTGAACTCAAAAAAAGTTATGGGTACATTTAGCAATCTAGCGGGTGAATTATGTATATAATGTATATTACGATGTGAACTATGCTCTTCTCCACTGACGTTCTAAGTTGTTCAAAGCGTTTAAGGATGCTGATTTTTAGAAGGCAGCTCTCTGATTCTGAGATTGGGAACAGGAACATGGTTTGTGTAACGTTAGCAACACATTATTAGCTGTTTGATAATATAGTAAAGCTAAAGGCTAATCATATTAATTACCATTATGTGTCATATTAGCTACTGTAAAGTTGACCGAGTGGATCAGGTATTCTGGGCTGGTGTGAGTGAGTGGAGACAGGGCTAATTTGCATATTCATAGAGCCGCGTATACTAAATGAAGCAAGGGTGTGAGTAACATTCAAGCTATTTTAAGGCATGAATCATTTTTTTCACAGGAATTTCTTTTTTTTAAAATATGTCATTTTGGTGATCAAAGATGAGTTTTAAGGGATAACATTGACTACAGAAGTAAAATCCAGATTATCCAAAATGTCCTGTCGCATTCGTAGCAATTAGCATAAAAGCTCAAAATGACATGGAAGATAGTTTTTATCTTGTTTAGCAGTCTTTAGTGTGTGCATTATAAGAATATAGAATTTTCTTAATAATACAGCTTGATTTTAATAAAGCTTCACATTCATTTGCCTTGTTTTTCTGACTTAAAGATGTTAAAAACAGGTCAGACTAATTAAAGACTTTCGTCTTTGCATCACCGAGTATTTGTGACTCCTGGATTGCTGACGCATGTGTGAGTGTGTGTAAATGTAGCAGCGATCATGTCATAAGTCCAGGAATCTACCGTGCTCCCACAATCCACTTTTATCATCCAGGCTAATTTCTGCCTGTAATCAGATTACTGCCTGTGAGCTGCCTAGCACCTCTCTCTCTCTTTCTCTCTCTCTCTTTCTCTCTCTCTCTTTCTCTCTCTCTCTCTCTCTCTCTCTCTCTCTCTCTCTCTCTCTCTCTCTCTCTCTCTCTCTCTCTCTCTCTCTCTCTCTCTCTCTCTCTCTCTCTCTCTCTCTCTCTCTCTCTCTCTCTCTCTACCCCTATCTCTCTCTCTCTCTACCCCTCTCTCTCTCTCTCTCTCTCTCTCTCTCTCTCTCCACCACCCTCCCATGTGTTTGCTTTAGCCCTGCAGTTTTGCCTGTGTGCATTTCCATCACGTTGAGTCCATCCGTGGCGGTCCCTCTCTCTCTCTTGCTCTTTCTTCGTCTGTCTGAGCCTGTGATTAGGTCTGTCTGTCCTTTTCCTCTCTTTCCTCTGTTTTCTTCTTTCCTTTTCATTCCAACATGTTTCAAAACCAGTGGATTACGAACTATCTCAACCATGTCACACAGTGTAGTCAAGGTAAGTGTGGAACTGTCTGTGCCCGGTTACTGTTACCAAGCAGTGAGGCTGATTTATGGGGATTTGAGTGAAAATCGTTACCGGGTCATTGATTGAATAGTTACTGTTACAGAAAGGATCGCACAGTTGTCTGATTTAAGAATGGATGGCTTTGTTTGAATTAATTTGGCATTGTGTGATCCTGGAAAACATAATTCATTTTAATAGTTGTACAAAACAGAAGTATGACTCTTGCTTTACTCTTGTTCTGTTGAGCATGAAGATTGGTTTATTGATCAGATGAAGTCTGAATACTTGTGGTGTGCTAAAGGTTTCCGTGAACTGACCATTTGTAGATAGTCTGCATCAGCTGATGACTGTTGCCAAATGAATCAAAGTGGTCATTCTGCCTGGAGTCAGTGTAGAAATACAGATAGCCCAGTCAATGGAGATTTTCAAATAGAAAGTATGCCTTTTTTGTGAAAATTGAGTACATTTTGTGTAAAATGAGTATTCAATAAAATTCAGAAACAGTAATTTTCTATACTATTAATTTGCCATCATTATTTTGTATAATAAATATTGTATTGGCCAATAGTCAATCTGTTGTCCAGAGACATTAACCATCGACATTAACCATTTTTAAAAATCAATATTAAACCCTTATCTGTGCAATTGATAGAGTTTGCCTTTTAAATACTTGCTCATCAAAGGGAACAAGATCATTGGCAAGCTCACTTATGGCGTCATATATAATTTTATCCATGTGCAGGTAAAACAACCAACCTCTAAAGTTTATATAAAAACACATTTTCTATATTTTTTTATTTACCAGATCTAGTTGAAGAATTTTTATCTAAGATAAAATTTTAAAACCTATTTTAATCTAATTCCTCTCCATGAATATAGCCGGGGTAGCTTGCGCAGCGTTAAACTATAAACAAACATTTCCTTTTTTTTCTCAGTGAATTTCAAATTTCGTGAAAAATTGAATTATATTAACCAATGTTGCATTATTAATTTCTATATCAAATAAATGCTGTTCTTTTGAACTTTCTATTCATCACTGAATACTGAAAAATGTTTCACAGTTTCCACAAAAATATTAAGCAGCTCAACTGTTTTCAGCACTGACAATAATAATAATTAATGTTTCTTGAGCAGCAAATCAGCATATTAGAATGATTTCTGAAGGATCAAGTGACACTGAAGACTGGAGTAATGGCTATATTGGCAAATAAATGACTTTAAAATAGATTATTTAAAAATATATTAAAATAAGAAAGGTTATTCTAAATTTCATATTTTACAATATTATTGTTTTTATCAATTTTATCAATCAAATAAATGCAGCTTTGTTGAGCATACGAACTATTGACACCTTGCTCGTCAGCTCACCATTGGAAAAATCAGGTCTTGTTGAAATGAAGCAGTTAATAGCCTGCATGTCTCAGTCCGTCTTAGATGTTTTGTTAAGCCAAATCTGTGTGTTTCAACTGACAAAGTTTCAGAGTCGCACCTCTGTAGTGCCTGCAACTGTCACACTGTGGATGAACCTGTACGTAATGTGTTGATCATGAAAAAACATGACCCCAGACTATGTGTCAACACTGTGTTAAAATGTGCTAATGGCAGGACGTGATAATTAGCGTTGTGCTGTCCACACATTAGATCATAAAATCCTTCACACAAACCTTGTGTAAAAGTGGTTTACTAGACGTCCGTCTTTCTGTGCTGTGAACTACATGTGTTTTAAGAAGGAGGGTGAACCTTTGAGCAGGGCCTATTTTTTTACCCTGATCTCCCCATCTAGTATTTTTAGACAATGCCTTGTTCTTCTCACCGCACTCGGCTAATTTGTGGCTGTCAGCATCCTGAGGTGATTCTCTGGCAACCCTGGGACGGAAACTCGTCCACTAGACTTCATTTAAGCTAATTAGGATGTCTTCACACCCACGTTTTACTTTGTTCTTCTCAGCTTGTTCTTGGAGCGAACCCTCCCTCCACAGCCCAGGATCTCCATTTGGAGGGGGTAAATTTATCAGTCGACACTGGAGAATGTTAAACACAGTAACTCAAGCTGTTGACTGTACAGCGGGGTAAAAAAAAAAATACGATGGATTTAAAGGGATAGTTCACCATTGAAATTGTTGTCATTTACTCACCCTTATGTTGTTCCAAACCTGTATGAGTTTGTTTCTTCTGTTGAACACAGAAGCTATTTTGAAGAATGTTGGTAACCTGCCAGTTGACGGTAGAACATTGAATTTTTTTTCCATAGTATTTTTTTCTACATTATGGAAGTCAATGGCTACTGTCAACTGGTTGATTACCAACATTCTTTAAAATATATATATTTTTTGTGTTCAACAGAAGAAAGAAACTCATACAGGTTTGGAACAACTTGAGGGTAAGTGATGACACAATTTTCATTTCTGGGTGAACTATCCCTTTAAATGGCCAAAACATGACGTTAAGATGGAATGTTATTAAAATCGGTGTGGTTGTTGGCACCAGGTGGAGACATTCAGGATAAATATGCCATTAAAATGTTTGTCCAAGATAAATTTGTGTCTTTCCCCAATTCTAATGAAAACATTGTTTACATATCACTGTAAAGCTGCTTTGAAACAATCTGTTTTGTATAAAGCGCTATATAAATATGGTGACTTGACTTGGTATATTTCTAAACCGAGATTGTCTTGTTTCTTTTTGCAGGCTTTGTCGGTGAAGCTTCTTCTAAGCTCTACAGCCCTGCACTACTAAAGAAAAGAGCAATAAGGTTAGAATACATGCATCTAGCCTTTATAAAGACCATTTATACATTTAAACTGTTCCCATAAGTGTATAGCTGAATTAAATCCCGAATTAATCCTTTGTAAGTTCTTTAATATTTAACTAAATGGGTTGATAAGAGAGATTAGAGATTTTCTGCCCAAACTGTCTCCTTACCCTTCCTGCCTACACAGCATTTATAAGGCAGCAGCATGCACTGCAACAACTTACATCTAAGATGGTGGACAAACCTGCTAAATTCATAAATGAAAATGAACAAAGTCAAAATATAAGCAAAAATAGATGTGTGTACTTAGAAGTCAAAATACACTTAAACATTTCTCTTTAGAAACTTTAAACGTTGCACTGCTAAAAACTGATCTAATAAATCTGTGTGCTATGTGTTTTTGTGCTTAGAATAGACCTCATCTTTTCATTAGCTTAGCAACATGTGCTAATGCCAGATAAATATGACCAAACTGGGTTTTGGAGCAGTGCTACAGTGTAGAGTGCTGCAGGATTTCTTGTGTGCTGCTGTTAAACTATATATATCCCATTCTTACACCTTTATTCTGGAGTTTAAATAAATCAAATCTTTGCTGCTGCTGTTTCTGAACGGCATATCTATACTTCTGTTATAAAAGTGATTGTTGAAATGAAGCTGTTGCACTCTGGACCTCAGGACACCGATTGTGTGTTGTGTTAAATATCTTGAGATCAATGGAAAGGGTAGATGTTTTGGTTACTGTGGTCACAAATTGTGATTGGTCACAATACTGCACAATATATTGATTCTTTAACAAAAAAAGACTTTTGCCTAGGAGAAAAAGAGGCATAGTCTGCTGTTATCATCACAGACCCAGAGTGTGTATGTGTGGGTGTATGTGCATGTTATCTTTTGTTGTTTCCATTGGTTAAGCTGTTAAAAGAGAAGAATATGCTCTTGACATGCCTTTTAATGTGTCCAGAATAAATCAAAACATCAGTTCTAAAGGAGTTCTCACGATAACACAAACATAAACATGTTGTAGTCACAACTCAGAATGTCTAAATTAAGCTTATGGATGTCATTGTCAATGATCGTAGTGTATGTTCTGCCATATATCTTAGTTATTGTGTTTCATAGAATGAGAGTGGCCAATTTCATGGTATGAAAATAGTAAATATAGTCCTATATTAATATCTAATTATTATCAGAAATACATGAAATGTAAAGGAACATAATGGTTTCAATAAGAAACGTACGCACATTCAAATAATATTTAACAGAAATCAGAAGCCAGAAATCGAGCCAGATTTTTGTATGTTTATTTATAGTATCGGTAATATATATATATATATATATATATATATATATATATATATATATATATATATATATATATATATATATATAATTAAGAATTTTGATCATTTAAATTTAAAATGAAACTAAGCCCTGTCACAATGCTTGATTGATTGGTTGGTATGTTACAAGGGTCTTGATTTAATTTCCTATAATTGAACAGGAGTGAAGAAGTTTCAGGTATGTTAACCACATTACAGTATATCATTTCACCACGTTCTCTTTCAATCATTTTTAAACTAGTTAACTACAGCTTGTTTCTAAGCAAGATACTGGTGTGGGGAAGTATATACTATGGTTTAAGTGGAAAAATTGACCTGGCCTGTTTACTATTATTATAAGTTATTGAAAATGTAATGCACATCAAGGGTGTAATGGCCATTACACCTTATTGTGCGTTATTTTTCAATAATTCAATGCCCGAGTCAGTTATTTATCCATGTATAGTTTCCATATCGGGTGCGTCTGAAAAGTTTCCACGAATGCAATCTAAACCTGTTCAAGCTCTAATTGGTGTTCTGCGGTCCTGCTTATGAGATTGTTGTGGATAGCGAAGGGTGTGCTGTAAATGGGAGTAATTGGAGTGTGCTGTTTGGGATGGAGGGACTGGTACCATGGTGAAGGGGAACTCTAAATGTATAAATACCTCAGCAGCTAATCTATTCCTGTGGTCAGATGCAAGTAAACGTTCAAGATCCTCTATGCTAATTCAGCTTAAAATGTCACACGGGAACACATTGGTAGATTTGGCCACATGATCATGACCTGCCGATGTAGAATTTTGGAGACACTAAGTTCCAAATCCGCTTTTTTTTCTACGGTGTGCAGAGATTAGATGTTGGAAAAATCAACAAAGATCTAATATATAATTTGGGTTGTCGTGGCCAAGCAGGTAGTGTGCCTACTGTTACATCCTTGTGGATCCTAGAACAACATTCCTATCAACCAATTGGATTTTAGGGTTGCGGTTACACTTAATGTAGGGCAAGTCCCCTTTAAAAAAAAAAAGTGGCAGAAAGACCAAAAATTTAATTAAACACATCAAATCTACTGTATCTGTATCTATATGACGCGAACGTGACATTTACTAAAGCAATATTGATTGCAATAGGATTGTTTTGAATTATGCACTCTCTGTTTTTGCCTTACAGCTTTGGTGTGGATGACAGGACATCACTGGTTAGGAGTACTACAGATATTGATGCAAACATTCTTGCTGTGCTGCCCAAAGGTGAGAAATACTAAGATAAGGTAAAGGATGGAAATAGTGAATTAATTATTTTTTTTAAAGTTCTTAAAGTTGGATATTTACTAAAATCCTTTTTAGTTTCAGAGCTAAGGAAGCAATTTGAAACCACGATCAGAAGTCATCCAGAAATGAACAGGTACATTTGGTCTCCCAAAAGTTTTCTATGCATGTTAAAATTAAAATGGCTTATCTATAGCTCAAACAGTTGAGTATGGCGTTAGCAATGCAAAGGTCATGGATTCGATTCCCATTGAATGCATGAACTGATAAAATGTATACCTTGAATCCAATGTAAGTTGCTTTGCATAAAAGCATCTGCCAAATGCATAGATGTACAATGACTGAATACTTTTGAAAACTCATATACGGGTAGTCTGTTTTAAGGAATGTTATCATTACAAAAAAAAAAAAAAAAATTTAAGTAACTTACAGTATGTTGTATCATTACTTTATGGAAAGCACTGTCAGTCTTAGCCTCTCAGTTTTCCAGAATGTTGTGTTAACCCGAACACTACATAAATCATGCAGGAAAGAAAGGATAGCAAGAAGGTTGGAGGGGATTGAATCTGATGTTCCATCTGCTCTTGCTACAAGCATGCAACACACAGCCGGCCTTGTGACTAATCGGCTACTGGAGGAGGACACACCACGCTACACACGTGCTTCAGATCCCAGTGATCCAGGCATTGTGGGTGAGACACCACAATTTATTTATTTCTGTAAGCAGACGATATACATGGACAACTATGCCAAGAGACACTATTTCTATTGCTATGTGTTGTTCTGTCATTTTGACAAACCCCTTTAAACTTTGGCACATAGAAGAAGAGGTGTGCTATAACTTTTATTAGCAACCTGAAACCTAGCGGACAATGTAACAGCTAGAGACCACAGTATCATATAATTTTGGACCAGTAAGCAATCACCCATTACAACCTAGATACCACACAATAACACACTAAAAAAACACTCAGAATACTATATCAATGCCCTGGCATTGATCACACATTCTTCAGAAGTAAACTTTTTTTTTTTAATAAAATGAATTCAATGATGATGTCCTCTCACTCTCTGTTTGCCTCTCTACAGTGCGGCGCTACAGTCGTGATGAGATGGAAGCTCCAGAGCGGCAATCCAGAGGTCGGACACGTCCAGATCCACAGTCGTCCGCCAATCCCGACCCGATAGGCCTTACCCCAGCAGGGTCTGACGCAGCCAGCCTCAGCTCTAAAGCGGAGCGGATCGCACGCTACAAAGCTGAACGCCGACGACAATTATCAGAACGTTACGGAATCCTCCTTGACCAGGAGGTGGACCTGGATTACACGCCACGCTACACACGTGCACGGAGAGAGTCTGACTTGTCGGACAGAGGGGCTCCTCCTGACAGGGGACGTGGTGAAAGCAGAACAGGGGGCGTGGCATTGCAAGAGCAGGATAAGGGGCGGGATCGAAGCAGCAGCAGGTCTAAATACAGCAGTTCAGGGATAGGGCGGGTCTTCATGCCTTCTGACCCCGCCCCCGATCCTGCTCCTCCATCAGGCTTTGATGCCGAGCGAGAGAGAGAGAGGGCAATGAACTTGGAAAATTATAGACGAGCACCTGATCGAAGTCCGAAACCACGCCCACAGGAAGCTCCGGTTCCCATGGAAACAACAGCTGCCCAACCAACGAAGGGTGTTGCTGTTGTCACTGTGGCAATTTCTCCTAGAACAGCACGCAGAGCTTCGTTGCCCACAACACGATATGGCATCTCTCCTGGAGACCTGTTCATTGAGCAACAAGCTCAAAATATCCTCAACAGACAGGGGTAAGTATGTTTGATCTTTCTGGATGTTAGAAAGTGTTTGAGGACCCTGATTTTGATTGACGTGGTATTGTCTTCCTGTGTTGGCGTACTTCCTATTGAAACAAGAAGTTGGTGCGGGACATATAAGAGGACTTGCTCTTTTTTAACATTTAGCTTGAATGAATGCTACCATATCTATGGCCTCAAAGTTAAAAAACCATGGACTAATGGTACAAAACTGCCAATTAGATTTTTAAGATGGGGTCCCGTAAAATTTTGAGATCTTGAGACTTTGAGATCCCAGCTTGCTTCATTTTTAGAAATCATCCTATAAAGCAAGTAAATGCAACAGGGTTAACAATTGCCATCATCTATCTATACCGATAAACTGGTGGACTTCGACAAGACTAATGCTTTGGGTTTTTTGCCTCACTCCGATAACGCTAAAGCTCTTACATTCTCCTTGTAAAAATGCTGAATGGACCAGCTATTATGTTTAGTCAGGTTCACAGTCATGCCTGGGGTGAAATACCTGTATGTAGATCTGTTCACTGGACATCAGCAAGAATTTCACTTTGATGCTCTGCTGAAGTTTTACCTAGTTTCAATGCTTAGTCTCTCCATAGTCATGGACAAGAAATTAAAATTACTTAGTATGACAGTAATTGGTTGATTTCAGACATTTATCAAATTTATCTCAGCATCAGAGGAGAAAAGCAACTCATTTTATTTAAAATAAACAACCTATACAAGTCACCTAGTGTAACCCTCATTATTTCATAGTGATTGTTTCCATAGGAGACCCTTACAATAATTTATAAAGAGATAAACTATCTTTTATATCCAAGTACGGGTACATGTGTTTTAATCGAGTGTTACATAACTCTTGACACTCTAAACAACCCTTGAGGAGAAAAATGTCCAGGATGAGATCATCACACTTAAATGTCCCTAAGGCAGTAGTCAGAGACTAATTAAAGAACCTAAGAACTAAAGTCAGGCAAGATAACTATACAACCAGAAAGAGAGGAAATCAACCAGGGAATACAACCTGGGATCGTGGACAGAGATGTTTTATTTGTGACATTACAATAGTCCCCTATTAGAAACTCATTTAGGATTGGTGAAGTCATGAGTGTGTTTTGTTATAGTGGTAAATGCCATGGTGTTGTCACTGTGATAACTGGGATCTGGGCCTCTGTGTTCTTTAGCTTGGCAGCTCTTTCTCAGAGTGAGTGGTCCCTCAGGAGAGACATGGACAGTGAATCCATGTCACAAATCAACTGGCCATCCAGGTATCAGAGTGGAAGTGTAACCCTTTAAATTCCCTCAGTTGACCCGCTAACTCCATTTTCCCACAATAGTCCTTATCCTACAAAGTCCATGTGCACAAGTATACATTTGCACACCTTAATTTTCATCCCCTTGACCCTATCATCTATAGTCACCATAGATGATGGCAAACCGTTCCCTTTTTAATCTCCCCCTGCATCCACTGCGTTTTTTTACCACTGACCTTTGTTCCTCGCCAAAATATGACCAGCTCCTAACAATGAACCTTGGCTTCAGTCCTTTTCAATTTGTCCCTGTCATAAACCTATAACAGGTGAGTCACTGCTGGTTGAGAGGTTATCAATAAATGGTTAAGTAACTATAAATGGTTACCAGGACATGATAGCTTGTTAATGATTTCATATTAGTCTATCAAAAGGGTAATAAATAACTGGACTGGATTTTAAATATGTTGGGGTTTTTTTGTTTTGTTTTTTGTTCCCTGTGTGGTAAACATTGATGTCAGGGAAAAGCTAGCTGCAGAATTAATTGAAACAATCTATTTTAAGTTTGTTTTGATGACACTTGATTCCTTAATTTTGATGACACTTTCTCTCAAAATTAGGGATGCACAATATTATCGGCAAATAAAGGCTTAAAATGTAAACATCGGCCTGATTTAAAATGATGCCGATATGCCTTGCCGATAATATGATAATATGATAATAGCAAGTATGATCACATGCGCTGTGGTCATTTTTTAAGGAAACTTTTGCCTGAATGGTGATTAGATTCAATGTTTTGGATCGCTGCACTGAATCTCAGAATGCAAGTACAGAATGATGCGTCCGGTGTGCAATACAGTCATTAGCGTGTGCAGCAACCTCTCCCGGGTCCTAATGTCCGCCCGGTGAGGTGTTTTATTTATTTAAGAAGGTGCTGTAGGCCTAATTAGACCAATAAAATGAAAAGTAAAATACACAAATAACATTAAGATACTTGTGTTTCTGAATAAATAAAGCAGCAGTTGCTGTCATAAAATCACAAATCTAGTTTGATTTAAAGGTCAGAAGCTATAGTTTACATGATGAATAAAAATCACAAACATGACACTTGTAAATTAAATAATTTTATATATACAGTTTAATTCAATAATGTGTCATTCTTTCAAATGGATTATAAAAATAACTTGAATCCAAAAAGCTCTATGGCCCTGTTTACACCTGGTATTAAGATGCATTTTGGTCGATCGGATCGAGGTGGACGAGGGAGACACATACCCGTTTACACCTGGTGTTTTAATTTGTCTCTTTTGTCCACTTTTAACTACTTCTGTTCTGTCCTGATTTCTTTGAGTGAAGGGTTTTGGGGGGTAAATGTATGTTGTTGTTTTTTCAGATCTTTCGATCTAATGGACAAAATAAGCGTGCACAATTTACAAATGAACGCGCCCGGAGACTACGGAAAAACATTCAGTACGGAAAGCAGCAGCTTTCGTTTCTGCTCTGACAGCCGCAAGACTGTGCCGAACGCTGTGAGTGTGTGTTAGAAATCAGGAATGGTGAGAGAACATTGAGCTTGGTACGTTTTTCGTCTTCAAACCAAACTTTGTTGAAACAAAAGTTGAAATTCCACATGAGCGTTTACACTAGGAAAGCAATCCGGTCAAATGCATTTTCGACTACCTATGGAAGGGGTTGAAAGTGGACAAGCTCAAAACATTTTACATCCCATTTAAACCTGTATTTAGTGTCGTCCACCTGTGAACGGGGCCTAAAATATTTTTTTGCTTTTGGTGTAGACCATCTACAAATGTTAAATCCACAAATAACATGTTAAGGTTACAACTGCATCTAAAAACAGCAGTGATTTATTTTATTATTGTTAGTTCAAAGCTTTGTCAAAGCATTGTCAAAGCTTTCAATGTTTTCTCATTATAAATGGAACTTTAATAATGTTTTAGTTCTAAGGAAAGTGCACAGGAAAGACTTTGTGTCGTTTCCAAACAAAAGGAAAAGATATCGGCATCAGCGATCCACCAAAATGAGTTGATAAATATCGGCATATCGACAAAATATTGTGCATCCCTACTCAAAATGATAGTAGGTCATGCTTTGAACTGGGTGAATGTTAATTCCTCTCTTTCCTCCCTTCATGAAGAATACGAGTAAGAGAGAGACAGACAAGGGAGGATATCTCAGGAAGGGTTTCTGATTCTGGGCCAGAAGCATCCTCTGTCAGACATCATCCAACAGTTGCCCCTCAATATTTGGCTCCACGACCTCAATCTGCTAACCAGCCGCGAACACGGAGCACTGATCCCCCAATCCAACAACCGAGTCAGCTAGCAGAGGCCCGTCAACAAAGGGCACATAGTGCAGAGCGGCCCCGATTCCAGCGCAATCACAGTATGGATTCACCTGCCTTTCAACACATACCTTCGAGTGAAATGGGAATTCATCAGCGTGCTCAAAGTGCAGAGCCCCCAAACTATGAACAGATTCCAGGTGTACACCCTAGCACCATGGGTCATCAGCCTGGATTCGGGAAAATCAGGCAATCCCTACCAAGGCGAGATAGTCAAGATGCTCAACAACCGACACAAATGACACAACAACCACGCCCAGCATACAAAGACCTCCAGCAGCCATTACCTGGTCGCAGAGATGCCCCACCACCTGTACAAAAGTATCGGGCTATCCTTCAACCAGTGCCTTTGGATCGGGACTCTCGCCAACCAGCTCAAGCACATGCAACTACTCAGAAGCCTCTACATGAATATGAACACACCTCGCATTTGCGTCCGTTACATAGGCATTATGGTCACAGCCAACCTTTGCAGTATGGTACAGTCCAGGCATTACCTCCAGCCTACGGACAAATTGTCCACTCTGGTCCTTCCCATGCATCTAGCCATCTATCCCCACCTTCAAATGCTCACGTAGCTCATCCTGTGCCTGGACCTCCACTTGGCATGTCTGAGATGCTGGATCACAAAGAATGCTTGGCCTCACCTGGTTCGACATCTACTGGAAAAGAGGGTGAAGAGACAAGATGGCGTCCCAGTGCTGATCATATTCAGCCCGTTTACAGAGAGGGTCGATCAGCATCCAGGGTACATCCACCTTCAGAAGGGCTACTTAGGAGCAGAAAGGCTGTGCTACCCTCAGAGATCCGCCGCAGACAAAAAAGTGTGGATGATCCCATATGTGGACAAACTGATGAAGTTTTAGAAAGTCAAAGAATCAGAACGATTAGCCAGTCAGAGGAGACCGAGGGTAGAGGTGGAAGAAAGTTGCACCAGTTGGAAGGAAGGGAAGGGCCTGATGGAAGAGGAATGGCTCAAATGGAAGAGGGCACAATAACAGGTGAAATGGGTCTAGTAAATGACAGAGAAGGGCTTGTTGACAGAAGGAACAGACAATCTGAGGAAAGGGAGGTAGATAATGGCACAAAGAACAGTTGGACAGGTGACGATGTGGGACGTAGTGTAAGGAAGATTGGTCAAAGAGAAGAGAACAAGCAAAGGAGTGGTATTAAAAAGGAGGAAGGTCAAGGTAATTGGAGTATTAACCAGTTAGAGGGGATGGAGCAAGGAGGTGTCAGGAAGGTTAACAAATTCAAAGAAAGAGAACGGGAAGTTGATCAAAGAAAAGCCCACGCTGAACAGTCTGTTGAACCACTGGTACAGGGTGATAATAGAATCAGTCAGGAGGTAGAAGAGCAAGAAGGCCAAAGGTTCCTGCAAAAAGAAGTGGTAGAAGGACATGGTAGAAGACAACGGATCAATCTGTCAGAGAACGAGGAAGGGCAAGTCAGACGAAGAAGGATAAGCCAATCCGAAGATGTTTGGGAGGGACGTAGGGTACGTACAATTGGCCAGTTGGATGAATGGGAAGCGCAAGGAGTGCATCGAATGGGCCAACCAGATGATCAGTTTGAAGGACGTGAGAAAGGAAAACAGAAGTATAACCCACAAGTATCTGAAGGTATGGACACCACTCCCACACAGGTAAAGCTGACCAATGAACAGCATTTTCCACACAATAAGGTGGGGGAAGTTGGAGGGTACTTGCAGAAAGGTTCCTCCCTCCCACAAGCTCAACATCGCGTGAGTCAGGATGCATGTGACCTCAGGCCAAAGGCACGAATCCGCTCCATGTCAGATATTGGAGTAATGCAGCGATCTGCTGCATTGAGAAGTCTTGAGCGTGCTGCCAGTCGAGAGTCTGCCATAGTGATGGGTCCTGGGCTTCATACTAAGGAGCCGGGTGCTGTGGCCAATGGTGAAATGGGCACCTTGGACACAAGAGTTTCTGTGGCAAAGCTGAGACATTCCTACCTGGAGAATGCTTCTGGACACAGACCTGAGCTGTACGTGGACTGGCCTATCAGCATGCTAAGTCAAGATTTTGTCAAAGATGATGATTAAACACACTAACCTTCAAGTAATAACCCTTTCTTTTGGATGTAAAGTTCTGCTTTGTTAATGCAGTGTTAACTCTACCTGCTGTTGTCTACCGTATGCTGCTGTTCATTCAGAAGTTTAATTTGGAATTGCTGAAACTTTACCACACATCCAATCAACTAAGTCTGAATGGAGGAATGTTGGCTTCAACTAATGACTTTTGCATTTAAAATCACTTAATCTAAACTTAATCTAAATCTATTTTGGCATCTCCTCTAACTATATGGGCAGCAGGATGAGATTTTGTAGGGTTACAAACTGTTGGATCTTAACCTTGCCTTGATCTTGTGCGAATAATTTTGGTTCTGTCTTCATCAAATGCATGATTATCATTACTAAATAAAATTGATTGTGTGATTTGTTGATTTGATTGATTTGTTGATGTATTGCTCAGTTTAAGTAGCCTGAAATATGAGGGATTTAGATTAGGGTTTTTGATTTGTGACTCTTGACTAACTTTGTTATGGAGTGTTTGTGTGTGCATGACAATTTTCTTGTATGCACATACAATTGTCTTGGGGTTTTTATCCTGCTAATTTTGCTTTAGAGTCTCTGTACCTAACTAATTCTAAAAGTTATTTTTTATTAAGACAATCTTTCCTGTCTAAAGGGAGTCTAAAGGTGACCAGGTTCCCATGGAGACTGATCCAGTTGTCAGCAGTGACCGGGAGAGAGGAGCACGTCGGCCCAGACGTTATATTTCCCCTGGTGATGACAGGAAGTCATCTGAGAGGTTTAGAACCCAGCCAATTACATCAGCCGAAAGGCTGGAGTCTGATAGGTACAGTGAAACAGGAAGTCATCTGTTGCACTGAAACCACCAATTTATTATTTGTTGTGGTAAATTGTCTCTGTTTTATTCTCAAATCTTTTAGAGTTAAAAAATTTTTTTTTTTACTTATCAGTTATGAAAGCGTTTTTGAAAGGTTCAGTCAGTATCTGTAAAGTGCATTTGTTCTGGCTACAGTATGTGGTTAATTTTTCTTTTCTTTAGTCATCATATTACACCAGTTGAATCATCAGGGTCAGTTATTTTTGTTCTGTTTGTACTTCTATCTTCAGGTCCCATCTTAGTCCAGAGCATCAACATGGAGAATGTGAGTCAAAATTTAAGCAATATCAAACAAACTGTTGTACCTAATATCAGCAGCTGTGATTTGGCCAAAGTCATGATTTTACACACCATTTCTATAAAAACAGTTCATATTGAGTAACTTAACCCTCTCTTTTGTGTAGTGGATGAGGAAAAAATGGATGAACGAGCTAAAATGAGCGTGGCAGCCAAGAGGTCTCTTTTCAGGGTATCAGCTCTCTGTAGCACACACAACTTGTTGAATATGAAATATCACATGAAACTAATGGCTACAAAAACAATATTGAATATATTTGTATATATATATATTTAGTTAGTTAATGCAGTTAATATTGCCTTTGTATGTATAGCCATAACATTTTTTTTTCTTCTTTGTGACCTTTCCTGGTTTGTCTTTTCTCGTCTGGCAGGAGCTGGAGAGGACTTCAGACGGAGGTGTACCCAAACCTCGGTCACGCAATGCTGCGGTTGAGCGGAGACTCAGACGAGTGCAGGATCGTTCACGGACACAGCCCGTCACGTCAGAGGAAGTTGTCATTGCTGCTACGTAAGTAATTTCATACTTTTTGTGATGTAAAGGATCTGGTTTTCATATCATTCAATTTTACCTGCTATTTTAAGTCAAGTCAAGTCAGAAACCAAGCCAGTTCTCCTCTGGCCAACGAACAAACACTGTGTGATTATGATTCAGGCCGCATCATAAGTCAGAATTCAGATCGGGATCAGTAGCTTTCAAATTTTCATCATTAAAATATTTGTTTTAAATAAATAGTTTTGCCAGAAGTTATTAATTCAGTTTACTCACCTTCATGTCATTCTAAACCAGAATGCTGTTGTTTTTTCTGTCGAGCTCAAAGAGAATTTTGAAGAAGCAAGTTATATCATAACTTCATTTTTGGAGCTTGTGGTCATTACGGTGAATGTTTTGTCTTTGCGAGAAAACAAATTACAGCATACAACAACATGAGGATGAGTAAATAGTGACAGAATTTTTCATTGTGGGTAAACTGTTCCATTCAAATACAGTATATACCCATCACTGACCACTTCATCACCCCCTTCTTTTGCAATAATTCTTGTTCACTTCATTCCTTTTGTTTTGTCCTCCTCTAAAGTTCCCCTGCTCCCCCTTCCCAAGTCATCACTGTTCAAACCACTGCTCCCAGAATCCCCAGTCCTGCCGTAGTCAGCACTTCCATGACTAGCTTCAGGTATCATTTGAATGCTTTATTTTATTTTGTATACTTTTCTGTGTAGGCTATATGTGATCATTTAGGAATTGTTGTCTTGAGCTACATGCTGTTTCCCAGTTTGTTCATTGTTTAACTTGGGCTTTTTACAGACATGTGTTTTTTGACAGCATCATTGCATATTAATAGAGAATTCATACCATACTTGAAAGAAAGAGTATAATTAAATGGTTCATTCATTCTGGTGTGTTGGATTATTCAATTCGTTCTCAAAAATGTCTCTGTGGGAATGTTTATGTGACAGTGCGCCATCTGCTGGTGTATTTTATGTTCATGCGCTGTTGTAAATTGTTGTTGGGAGTGTGAAAACAGAATGGCTGGCTTGCAATTATGGGGTTATGCAGTTCCTCAATTTTGTAATGTGAGCATGTGCCTGTGTCTATGAAAAAGTAAGAGTATATTAATGTGTGTGAGCATGTGCAGATGTTTTGGGTGTCTACATCAGCGCGTGGTCACCCAGATTAGCTGTAAATGGTCACATGGTTAGCAGCAAAACACATTCTGCATTCTTCATGCACACCCAAATGTCAGAGGTGTCACCCATCTGTCAAGAAGACTTTTATGAAAGTGGCAGAGGAGGAGAATACCTTAAATTAGAACAAAGGACAAACAAATCAAAAAATAAAGTTTCACTCAAATTAAGTAAAGAACACAACACCAATGCATTTGAGTCCTATGTCTTTTTTAAACCTTGTATAGATTGAAATAATGGCTTGGCAGTAGATTGAACTCCGTTTTTGCGTGTGTGTTTAATAAGGTAAAACTTACATTATTTGCACCTGTTTACTTGTTTACTAAGTACATGTTTACTAAGTTCTTGCCACTGTCTGTACAGTTACAGAGTTACAATTATACAGATCCCTTGAATCTTTTTTGATAAATCTTTTGTTGTTGTTAGTCCACATGTAATTTATGGACAGCTGACTGTATAATGTATAAAATCATATTGCTCTGCTTGATGACTGAGGTCTGGATAAACAAATGCACAAACCAGGAATAGTTACTGTGATGCTCACTGCGATTAGTTACTATAATTGTTTATGAATCATTTTGTGTGCAATTTTGTTAGCAGCCATGTCTCTGTGTGCAGTGTTTTATTATCGCATAAAAAACCTGTAATTCTCCTCCCAGTTTGCAGGCATCATCAGCACATGGATCGGCCCACCATGAGCAGGAGAAAGATGATGTATCAAAGGAGGCGGTTGCGGGAGAAGAGGGCTTGGGGCTTAATGAACCGGACCTATCAGCACTAAGCCTAGCTGAGAAGATGGCATTATTCAATCGCTTGTCGCAACCCTCTGGCCAATCAGCAAACGGACCCCGCTCGGACACACGCCAGCGTAGGGCCAATGCCCGCTTTCAGACCCAACCTATTACCCAGGGCGAGGTTGATCAGGTGAGGTCTCCTTTTTACCTATTTTTGTGGAAACCACTTAAGTAAATGCATATTTTTGCTTTGAGTACTTTAAAGATGAAGTCTAAAATGTCAATGCTAGGTGCACCAAGTTTACAGAGGTTATGCATTATTATTATTAGTCAGTTATTTTTGTTATAAGGCCATTACTTATTTTATTGTCTTTGTTTGTTTGCATATATTTGGAAATTATTTCAGTTTAGTGGCGTTAGAGATGATAGCCTTCACTTTAGAGATGATTAAAGAGAGATTTAAAAAAAGAAAAGCATTCAATTTGTCTTTCATTCTGAATCATTTAGCGTTGTAATTGACTTCAGTCAATACTCTCTTGAAAGTGAAGAGACATTGTGCCATTCACAGGAATTTACAAAAGACGTAGACCCGTCCAGTCTCACAGATCAACGCGCTGTGACTAATGATTCTGTTGGTCCCCCTCAGAGCGAGCAAGTAAGAGATCCTGGACTGAGACTTTTGATTGGCTGAGCAGTGAGAGCTTTGCCTTGGCAGCAGCTGCTGATTGGTTAATTGCTGAGGCCCCGACAACATTGCATTTTCCAAGTGGATATTTGCTACTGCTGAGTTGCATTATACCTGCTTTGATTTTGACCGGTTTCATTTCTTAATCTAGTAACTGCATTTCACTGCATTCTTTCATTTACTCAACCTCATGTTATTATAAACCTGTATGCCTGCCCCCAATATGGAATGAGATGTTTGGCAGGATGTTCATGTTGATTTTTTTTCTTCATATAGCAAAAGCATATGGAGAACAGGGGCTGTCAGTATCCAAAATGTGGTCTTTTCCTCACACAGCGCTATATCATATAGCATCAAATGATTTGAATTATACCATGGTCTGTCTGAACACTCGACTCTGATTGGCTGGAAGGTGTGCAATAAAACCGTTTAATGCACAGGTAGTTCCGAATCAGTTTAATCACTGTTTTATATGAATGCACAGTTTTCTTTGAAGCGCGCACACACATCATTTGCACACAGATTGCGCGGCGCATACACAGCTTACACATTTAGGAGCACAGTAACTTATCAATGCTGCCCCACTATTTTTAATTATTAAAATATCTTCACTACGGAATCGCTACGTCTCAGCAAGAAGGGGGTAACATCGCTGGTTTTGAAGTAATTAAACTTATAGCTTTGTTGTTAATAGAGAAAGACGCTGCACAGATGCAGGTAATTCACACACGCATCTCTCTTTCTCTCTCTCTTTCTCAATAATTTATTCAAATAAATGCTATATTTTTATTCATTCAAATAAATGTAATCTTACGCACTGCTTTATCTTTGTGTCTGATTTAAAGTTCACAGAATGCTAGATCTAGCGAGCCGTAACTGACAAAAATAACCATAATTTGTATCCTTCCAGTCAAATAGTGCACTGCAAACATCAATAAGAGCTTTAAGTTGTCAATGCTGGCCAGTGATTATGGTATAATTGGGATAATCCATGGCACTTAATATTATTTAATGTGGACTTTAAAAAAAAAAACTACTTGGAGATAACATAAGAAGAGGCCTCTTAAGTGTACTTAAAGAGTTCACTTTCATGACTGTTTCTTAACACGCTTAAGTACACTTTAGAGAAAAAAGTTTTTTCTAATAATGTTATAAAATATTTTACTTTAAAGTACATTTTTAAATCATTGTTTTAGTAATCTTTTGTCATGCATTAAAGAAATAGACATTTTGATGTGTTGACTAACATACTAAAGCACATGTAAATAACTTTTTGTATATATTATGTATACAAATATATTATTTGAACTGTAATGTGTTTTTCTATATTACAGTAATACATCTTAAATGTACTAAATTGCAACTATCATTACAAATGTGTACACATATTTACAAATATTTCATAATTACATGATATACAAGTTTTAAATAGAAATTATGAAATAGCATATGTCCATGAAATTATACATAAAGATTTAGGTGGGTCAAAAAAAAGCATTCTTAAGTTCAACTAATTGAGTTTAGTATCTATTTGAACTATGCTACATTTTCTTTAATTGCAAATAACATGCAGTTAAGTGCCCGAAACCGTTGCATTTAGTTCGCACTTAAGTATATTCTTTTAAAGCATATTATTTCCATAATAAGCACTCTTTTTAGAAGTATGCTAGAGTGCACTTCATTTTTCACAATGGACAAGACACATAGGCAACTTTTATGGTGCTTTTATTGAAGATTTTTTGGGGTGAACTATTCCTTTAAATAAGCAAATCTGTGCTCGCTATGAGAGAAATACAGCTATCGGACAGAATTGCGTTTTAAACACCCTGACCTTGATGATGATGATGATGATTATGATTATGGTGACGTCAACAAAAATTCTGGTTTGTTGCATGTCTGAGAAGTTAACTGATCAGGTTGTTTGGTATGCAAAGCACATCCAATCTCTGCAAGCTGCCTGTGTGTCCTGCATATGACCTCTGACCTCTCTGGGGTCTGTAAATCTGAACGCCATCTAAAAAGACATCTGAAAATACAACTATTCTTTCTTTCTCTCCAGCTGCAAAATGGAAGCGTGAAGTTGGAGCCTCTCTCTGCATCACTGGTACGCTCTGTTACTGCGGTCACCGCCCAGGCCTCTGTTGCCATGGTGACAAGCGCTTCCCCATCAATGACCGCAGATGTTCGCATGGGGATGTCCACAGCTCCGCCCTCCACTCAGGCCTCGCCCAATCAGACTCAGCTACCGGCCTATGAGAGAGGAGTTCGATACTTCAGTCTTACAGAGAGTGGGGAAAATCCCACTCCTGATGTTCAGTCTCCGCCCCCCGCAGTGCAGCCCGGCCAATCAGGATACAGCAAGGGTGGGGCCGCGCTGATTTCAGCCAATGGCCAGAGGCAGGACGAAAGTGGGCGGAGGGGAAGACTTGGGTACTTAGAGAGAGAGGAGAGAGAGACAGAGCTCCCCAGTGCGACTTCCCCTCCTCACACACATGCTCCCATACACACACCCCCTCACGGCAGGGGAGATGCAGAGCTGAGCGGCCCGCGAGAGAGGGAAAAAGAAAGCACACCGGGAGGCTACCTTTCACCAGACAATCATCAGACGGCAAGAGGAAGCGGTACCAGAGCTGTCATCTCAGGTAAGGTTAGATAGAAAAAAAAGAAAAGTATTTTAAAAGGGGTGCAAACCTCTCAGATGTGTCTATTGTTTTTTTACATGCAATCACACACATGCATGATGCACGTCTGCAAGATGCAGCCGGCCTCTGATTGGGTTAACTGGGTTCCCAGCCAACATGCTGCTCGAGTCGAATGTGATTAGCATAATTTATCATACATCAAGCGTGTGGCTCTCTTTGTCTGAGCCGTGCAAAACTAATGATGCCGAAATGAATCGGGCAGAAGGCAAAGTGGAGTGATGCTCCCCTCTGTGGCTTTTGTTTGCGTTCCCAGCCAAAGCTGTTACTATCCATTCGTCTGGAAGCAAGAGGCGTGTATGTGTGAATTGTGTAGTAAAGAGGGAGATGAATGAAAGACTGGAGCGGTAAGGCGGATGGAAGTGTGCCCACATTGATACAGACATGTTGTCATCCCACAGGAAAAACACAGGAGGTTATCAGGTTCATGTCTGCCACATGTTAAAGGACAGCCATGACAGCAGAATGCGACAGTGGCATTCACAGGATAAATTATGTTTTTAACATGGTTTTTTTTGTGTGTGTGTGTGGCAGTGGTGCTTTAGACTGCTGTCTGTTCATGTGTGTCAGGTATTGAGTTAGCCCTATGATAAACATGAGAGAGTGTGTGTGTGTGTGTGTGTGTGTGTGTGTGTGTAAGCTGATGTGCAATGCAGTTTCTAGGTTTTATGTATGAAGTTTTCTTTTCTGTATCTGGTGTGTTGAATAGCTATGGCTAGACACATATTTGTGTATTCTTAACTGGATGGATATAAATATTTGAATGGTATAATACTGTTGGCTGCTTGATTGGGTGTTATAAATGTATATTTTGATTGATATATACTGATATAATGCTTCTGGTTATAGGGTCAATCTCATGAATCCCGAGAAGTGTGTCATGTTCAATTTCACCTCCCTCGCCATAAAAAAGAATATATATATATATATATATGTATGTATGTGTGTGTGTGTGTGTTTTCAAATTCTCATTCATGTAATTCTTTTTTTTCCCCCCAGTAATAATTTTCATTATATTCTCTTTTTTACTGCATTAAAGTACAAAATATTGAAGTCCAAAGTTCTTGATCAGCTGTTAGTATGTTTTGATTAATTCACATTGATATAATGCCTCTGGTTACAGGGTCAATTTCATGAATCCCCCCCCCCCCCCCCCCCCCAAAACATTTTTGTCCCCCTTTTAAATTCCCATTATCAGAATTCTCTTATTTAAATCATGATTCTCATTAGATTATCAAGTCTACAAGTCTTTGACTGTAAAGCACAAATATTGAAGAAGAGTGTTTTTTTATTCAAATAAATTAGCAGAACAATCAGCATATTGTAAATATTATGCAATAATCACTTTTAAAGGTAATACAACAAATACTGTACTGTATATATATATATATATATATATATATATACACTCACCGGCCACTTTATTAGGTACCCCATGCTAGTAACGGGTTGGACCCCCTTTTGCCTTCAGAACTGCCTCAATTCTTCGTGGCATAGATTCAACAAGGTGCTGGAAGCATTCCTCAGGGAGTTTGGTCCATATTGACATGATGGCATCACACAGTTGCCGCAGATTTGTCGGCTGCACATCCATGATGCGAATCTCCCGTTCCACCACATCCCAAAGATGCTCTATTGGGTTGAGATCTGGTGACTGTGGAGGCCATTTTAGTACAGTGAACTCATTGTCATGTTCAAGAAACCAATTTGAAATGATTAGAGCTTTGTGACATGGTGGAAGTAGCCATCAGAGGATGGGTACATGGTGGCCATAAAGGGATGGACATGGTCAGAAACAATGCTCAGGTAGGCCGTGGCATTTAAACGATGCCCAATTGGCACTAAGGGGCCTAAAGTGTGCCAGGAAAACATCCCCCACACCATTACACCACCACCACCAGCCTGCACAGTGGTAACAAGGCATGATGGTTCCATGTTCTCATTCTGTTTACGCCAAATTCTGACTCTAACATCTGAATGTCTCAACAGAAATCGAGACTCATCAGACCAGGCAACATTTTTCCAGTCTTCAACTGTTCAATTTTGGTGAGCTCTTGCAAATTGTAGCCTCTTTTTCCTATTTGTAGTGGAGATGAGTGGTACCCGGTGGAGTCTTCTGCTGTTGTAGCCCATCCGCCTCAAGGTTGTGCGTGTTGTGGCTTCACAAATGCTTTGCTGCATACCTCGGTTGTAACGAGTGGTTATTTCAGTCACTGTTGCCCTTCTATCAGCTCGAACCAGTCTGGCCATTCTCCTCTGACCTCTGGCATCAACAAGGCATTTCCGCCCACAGAACTGCCGCTCACTGGATGTTTTTTCTTTTTCGGACCATTCTCTGTAAACCCTAGAGATGGTTGTGCGTGAAAATCCCAGTAGATTAGCAGTTTCTGAAATCCTCAGACCAGCCCTTCTGGCACCAACAATCATGCCACGTTCAAAGTCACTCAAATCAACTTTCTTCCCCATACTGATGCTCGGTTTGAACTGCAGGAGATTGTCTTGACCATGTCTACATGCCTAAATGCACTGAGTTGCCGCCATGTGATTGGCTGCTTAGAAATTAAGTGTTAACGAGCAGTTGGACAGGTGTACCTAATAAAGTGGCCGGTGAGTGTATATATATATATATATATATATATATTTATATGTAATATATATACATATGTCATGATGTATAAATACATTACAATTTTAAATTAAAGTTATTTTTTGCATAACAGGAATGGGGATTTAAGGTGTGCTTAATTGTCACGATATTCCTAAAATGACCTAATTGTCCATTCTTTATGCAAAATGTATGTTCTTTTTTTCCTTTTGGGAGAAATGTTTTGTGAGATTTACCCTTTAAGGCTGTTTTTGTGTATTTGCTCTCATGCTAGACTCAATGTGTTTCTCCAGATGTCCCTGATACCAGCGTTCCCGGGAGGGCGGTGAGCACTGCTGCGGTCTCCTCCAGAATTTCATCACACACCTCACACTCGCTCACTTACCTCCAGCAAACCCAGTCCTACACTCCTCCGCAACCTCAACCAAAACCAGTGCAGCACCCTCAAGTTTACACACCGACACTCACCCGACCCCAAACACAACCCTACAGCCCGCCGACGCCGCCACAGACACAGGCCAAACTACAAACACACCTCATTTCTGACTTTCAACCTCACATTGACTCTCGGGCTCCTCCACGGCAAACTCAGGTGTCCTCTGAACCCCAACAGCAGACACAACCCAGAGTACCGCCACAGACACAGCCGAAACCACAATCCTTCCTTCCTCCTCAGTCGCATGCCTACATTCCCTCTCAACCCAAGATACCTCCTCAAACCCAGCCAAAACCCCAGTGCTTCATACCACCTCAAACAAAACCCCAAGAAGAGATCCTGGGAAAATACGGCCCATCTGCACCCATCGTCTCCAAAGACCAGCAGCCAGAGATTCACGAAGATCCAGAGGCCATGACATCTATGTCAATCAAAGAGAGGTGTGTTGGCTACTTCACTTGTACATCAGCTGTGAGCATACCAGACATCCCACCCTGCATAAACTCATTCCCGGGAGATGGCACAATCCCCACCACCACCACCATAATATAAAAAATTATACCATTATATTCATTCACGTAAGCCGCCTTTTCATTCAATAGTATTGATGCGCCAAAACTGATGTAGTTGAGTGTGAAAATAAAGAGGCGAGGGTCTCCACAAAATCCGAAGTGGTCACAGGAGACGCATTTGAAACTTGTGATAATACCAGGTGTAAAGGTAATGCGTCTTTGCTGACCGCTTGTGATTGGTTCACCGAAAATGCATCTTAATACCAGGTGGAAACAGGCTTTATTTCTCTCGAGCTTGCTCAATTTCTGGGATATTGTATATAATTTGCGGCCGTCAGGGAGCTGCTATCAATATGCGGGAGACTCCTGCACATTCCGGGAGAGGTGGGATGTCTGGCAGGGTTGCAGACATATATTTTAAAATATAATTTATTTGTGTGATGACAAGTCTGAATTTTTACCATCATCACTCCATTCTTTAGTGTCACATGATCCTTCAGAAACCTGAATTTTAATAAGAAAAAAATCGCATTATTATCAATGTTGAGCTGAACAGTTGTGCGGTCTCATATTTTTGTGCAAACCGTGGTGCTTTTTTCATGATTCTTTAATGAATAGAAAGGAATTATTTTAAATAGAAATCTTTTGTACCATTATAAGTGTATTTACTGTCAAATGTAATGTCTCCTTGTCGAATAGAAAGTATTAATTTCAATTCGACAAGGAGAAATTAAAAAAATCTTACTCTTCCGTTGTGTATATATTTTTTTTATGCTAGAAAGCAAGATTTTTATGTGTCAGGATTAGGTAGCATAATAATAGCATGTTAAAAGCACACTCATCATAGCATATTGCGGTGTAAGAAACAATGGCACATGGCTGGAGATGTTTCAGGGTGACTGGAGCTGTTCTCCTTCTGTCTTGTCTTATAAATGAAATTGGGTCATCTCTGCTCTCCGCGAGCGCTGATAATGCGGACAGCACTATTTTAGTACTCCAGCTTTCCCCACCAGGCAGGATGAAATGAGTATAGACAGAGAGAGAGAACGAACCATGACGAAGTAGTATGAGAAGGCTGAATTGTGAAGAATTTTGTATGCTGTAGTATTTGGTGTGATTTCTGAATGAGTTTTAACTACCAACATATCTTTAATTTTCTTTTTCAATTGTCATTTCTTGCATTTTATACAGCATATCTGCATGATTTTCGCCTCTACAATGTTCAAGATGGAGTGAAGCGTTTGACACTTTTCTTTCTCAGGTTAGCCATGTTGAAGAAGAGTGGAGAGGATGATTGGAAAAACAGGATCAACAAGAAACAGGAAGCTATACAGGAAGTGGTGTCTGTAAGCGAGAAGACAAGTGAAATAGTGGAGGAGCAAGGCTTTAAGAAAAAGGTAAGAATATGATATAATATTGATCTAAATCAAATATGGAAACTCATCACAATTTTTTATATATAAATTCCATGAATATGTAAATTAGTCCCCGCCTCCACTCCATCACACCAGTTTGGACTACCTGATCCACTCAGTCAACTGTATTAAATGCTACACAATGTCAAGTGGAAATATAGTCATATAGCCATAACCAGAAACTGACTGTAGAGTGAATTATACAGGCTCATCTACAAGTCGATGTATCAGAATGGCAATGCATTTTATGTATCGCTCTTTACAGTGTCGGACACATAACGGTAATTGATATGATTAGCCTTTGGCCTGACTACATTATCAAACAGCTAATCATGTGTTGCTAATGTTAAACAGACAGACGGATGCCTTCTAAAAATCAGCATCCTTATTAGAAACGCTTTGAACATCATAGAAAGTCACTGGAGAAAGGCATAAACTGTAATTCATCATAACATCATAATATACATCTTATACACCAGCTATATTGGGATATGAACCCGGTTTTTCCTGTACCTTCTTAAAGGCGCGTTGACGAGATTGGTTACTTGTTTGTGATGGGTGGATTCAAACCACGTCTTTGGTACACTGCAGTTTTAAGGAGAAAATACTCTGCAATTGTGTTGACTGATGAATTTGCACATGGTTTGTACACTGTTTAAAGTATATTCAAAACACCCAACATAGACATTTTAAGTATAGTGGTGAAGTACTAGTACTCAAATACATCACACATATGATGACATTGATGGGACTGGTGCTATCCATCTGTGAAATTACAAAAAATCACATTTAAAGTGTCAGAAATGATTCGGTCAACTCTCTCTGCTTTATAAAATTACATGAGTAGATTTTTTTTTAATGTCATTGACCTAATGCAACACCTCTAATTGTGCCATATGGACATGGAATACTTTTATGGTGCTTTTTTTTAAAACAAAATGGCTTTAAAAATTCACCCTTTGTGTTCCACAGAACAAAAGAAAGATGACAGAGTAAATGAGGGTCATTTTAATATTTGGTGAACTATTCCTAATCCAAACTGTGAATCAGATTGTGTAATTTGTGAATAGTAACACATTAATGTATTGTCGCAGGCAAAGCTGTGAATTGACTGCCCAGTCTGAGTCATTTCACAGCGTGGTGTTCACTGAGTTTTATAAAGTAACTGGGTTATTGTGATTCTCGCAATTCAGCAAGTGCAAAGGTTAAAGTAAACCCTGTTCAGTTTATCCAAAGATAAATGCCAAGTCTTTCACACCAAACAGCTTTATTCTAGTCTTAGCTTTTTGTCCCTCACACACACAAATGCATCTCCTGTGTGTTTAGGACAAGACTGTTATCAGTGAATTCACATCATCTGAGCAGCTCTGGGTAAGCACTAGCATCAATGGCTGTCCTAGGAAATTTTGGGTTTAGCTGCAAGATGATTGGCTGGCCTGCTAGTGCAAACTGCAATTTGATTGGCTGTTTCACGCTGCTTGCTTTATCTTCTAAATTAATCTTATTTTGTCATTTCACTTGGTAACCCTTACAATAAAGTCTCATTTGTTCACATGAGTTAACTCTATTAGTTAACATGACCTAACAACAAACAATAACTACTGCATTTATTAATCTTTGTTAAATTTCAATATTTACTAATACATTTTGTATTAGTGCAGTTGCATCTGTTAACTTAAAGTAATGCATGGTTAACATGAATATTTTTATTAGCATTAACAAAGATAAATACATGTTGTAAAAAAATATTGCTTTTTGCTAGTTCATGTTACTGTATCTAATGCATTAACTAATGTTAACTAATGGAAAGTGTTATCTTTTAGTTTGTTTTCTGGTGGCTATAATAAATGAATATTTGCGTCTCTCTAAAATGTTACTGCTGTTGGAATGTTAGGAACATGCTAATAATTTCACTTAACATTATAAACGACTCCTCGTTATACTGCCATTATAGACCTTTTGCTTCTCTTGTTTGTCTTGATGTGTGTCCAAATCAAATTCTAGCATGTTTTAGGATGAAACACCTTGCTGTTCTATAATCTAGATGGACTAGTAGCTGACCAAGAACATGAATCCTTTATTATATATAGAAACCAAAATGGTCTGTGTAGGTTATCATATTAATAATTTCCTGTATTTTTTAGCCTATGTGGTTCATATTAATCTTGTTAGATTTCAGTTTTCGATTGTTGTTTACTTTTGTAAACTCTCAGAAAAAAAGGTACAAAAATAGTCACTGGGTTGTCACCCAAAAAGTAAACATTTTCTAGTGTACATTAATCAACATTCATGAATTTAAATGTACCCAAATTAACCCGAAGGCTAGTTTTCATTGGTTGTCCCTTTGCCAGATGTAATTAGGCCTAAAACTAGAGAAAAGAAACAAGAGAGAAAAACAATAACAACAATACTTACTTTCAATGTACTTTTCTTCCCTGTATATTGTGACCTGTATCCAAGTGAAACAGCTTCTAAAACGAAAAATGTCAGGCAGAACTTGATTTGGTTTATGGGGAATTGATTGGGTGGTTGGATCCTTGTTGTTTGCTATTGGTTGAGGGACAGGTTGTCCCGCCCTCGCGCCAGTAAACACGCCTTTAGAGAAGAGATGTCACTAAAAGTTATTTTGATTAAAGATCATGAGGCCACATGAATTTAAGTAAAAACATGCACATGAATAAATCATTCATAATAAATACTGAATTGTTCCATAAAAAAATTATAATTGTTTATTTTTATTTCATAGTGACTTTACCCTTAAATGGTATATATTAGTATCTTAAAGGTACATATTAGTAACTTTTGAAAGGAAACTTCCCCAGTGACAGCTTTTGTCCCTTTATTTCTGAGAAAGTGCCAAAACGTATTATTGTACAATGTTAGCTGCCACTCGATGTCGATTGCAAAATCTGTGTCCTGGTGCTAAACCAGTTGAGAACCACTCCACACTTAGAGGTGTTGCATCCTTTCCTTTGGCTTTTTTCCCCCTCATTCATTCTCAGCCATATCTGAGTTATTTTCTACTTCCTTCACTATCAACGCCCTGTAATCATTGTCTCTTGCTCTTTCATCCACTCTTGTTTTCTATCCTGTTTCGTCCTTATTCACTGTCTGTAGGGGCCTGTCTTTTCCTCCACCTACTCTCCTCCTCCTCTTCCATCTTCCCCAAAATGCCAATATGTAGAACATCAAGGCCAGGTAAGAGAGAGCTTGTGCATTTTGGAACCATTTCATTTCTAACATACTCTACAAACATAACTCTACAAAAGGTCTGAAATTTTAACTTTTCCTTCCTTCCTTCCTTCCTTCCTTCCTTCCTTCCTTCCTTCCTTCCTTCCTTCCTTCCTTCCTTCCTTCCTTCCTTCCTTCCTTCCTTCCTTCCTTCCTTCCTTCCTTCCTTGCTTCCTTGCTTCCTTGCTTCCTTCCTTCCTTCCTTCCTTCCTTCCTTCCTTCCTTCCTTCCTTCTTTCCTTCTTTCTTCCTTCCTTCCTTCGTTGCTTCCTTGCTTCCTGACTTCCTTCCTTCTTCCTTTCTGACTTCCTTCCTTGCTTCCTGACTTCCTTCCTTCCTTCCTTCCTTCCTTCCTTCCTTCCTTCCTTCCTTCCTTCCTTCCTTCCTTCCTTCCTTCCTTCCTTCCTTCCTTCCTTCCTTCCTTCCTTCCTTCCTTCCTTCCTTTCTCCCTTCCTTGCTTCCTTCCTTCCTTCCTTACTTCTTGACTTCCTTCCTGACTGAATGACGACAAAGTCACAAAAAATACTTAACGCATATCTCTGCTTTAATGCATCAGCTGTAAAAATTGGCTGGTTTCATTTAGTTTATAAAGGACTGTTATTATTAGTTTGCATAATGTATCCTTTAATTCACTGTGAATGATAGTAGAAACCCCTTATATTTCTCTGATGGAAACAGGCAGCTCTGTACATATTCCCAGGGCAAATGCATTCATTAAATGAGTGTTGGCAGCATAAATGCAAAAATGTAATTTAGATAGAAATGCACCGCACTTTGAGTAAGGATTACTGCATTTTTGGCTTTTGCTGTTGACTGATAAATTTCAATACTGTATGTACAGCAAAGAGAATAGTCATATTCAAACGTTTTGTAAGTGCTTTGGACAGTTTGCTGATGAATGCTCATGTGGTCTGTCCTGTATGTCCAAATTGCTGGTCTTTCTTTGCTGTGAATTTATCAAGATGATCTATAGCCATCATATCTGTTTTGTCTCATCTAATCAGAAACTTGAAGAGGGGGAGGCGAAGATGTCCATTGAAGAGAGGAAACAGATGATCTCGACCCGAGAGGAGGCGTGGCAGAGCTCAGGGAAGGGCGTGGCCAATGACTCGACCCAGTACACGGTGGCTGCCAGGATGGTGAAAAAAGGTTAGAATGTGCAAACATAGATCGGATATTAAATACTATATTGTTTTATTATTAAATGCTACAAATATTATTAAATGCAAAAAATACAAAAAAATTCATCTAATACATCTTCATACATTTTCCTAAAACCAACTAAACACATTTAATAATCAAATAATGAATTACTGGAAAAACTTGAAAGTGTTACAACATTTGAAATGTTTTAAAACCACATTGATTAAAAAAATGTAAAAAAGTGTACTTTAATAAGTGAGAAGACACCCTAGCCATCATAGACATTATACAAAATATTTGTTCCCATAATGCTGCTTTTGGCGAACTGGAAATATTTCAGTGGGTATATTTTGTTGTGTTGAGCTATTTCAATTACTTTTGTTTGATTTGTTCATTGCAAACAGCTGAAAGTCTGGACATTTTGACAATAAACCTGATTTGCTATGGGGGTTGAATCATTTTGATTACAACTGTACATACATGCTTACAGATATGGAATATTAAAAATTAAACAAATTGAAACTGTGTAAAATATAAAGAATTTTTTTTAATGTTTCATAAAATGTATTATAAAAATGCTGTTATTAAATGCCTGATTATGTGTGTGTGTGTGTGTGTGTGTGTGTGTGTGTCAGGTCTGGCCGCTTCCTCTGCAGTGATCAGCCCGATTCTGTCTCCAGTCTCTGCTAAACTTAAGAGCAGTGTGTCGGCTATCTCTAAACCACAGGAAGGTAAATTAGACAAACACTCGCTACATTAAAAGAAAGAAGATATTTCTCTTTAGAAAGTCACAAAGTTTGGAAATGTTGTTGCGCCATAATAACTGGGGCAAAACCCCTGATGTGCTGCAGATATTGAGGCCAGAGCAGAAATGGAGTCTGATAAGAAGCTGGAAAAGCTAGAGACGTTTCTGGGGCGTTTGAACAGTAAAGGTAAGTTGATTGATGCAAGATCTGCTCATTTTCTTGTCCTTTTTGCAGACGGATGTTATAAGTCCATTATAGAAGTCAGAGTAGAAATGATTATTGAATCATTTGGTGTCTTTAAAAAAAGAAGCTTCATGACATATTATTTCAATTGCTGTCACAGTGTCCTAATAATGTACCTTTTACTGAAGCCATTGCACTGTCTCTCTCTCTCATTTTCTTCCTTCCTTCCTCCTCCTCAGTATCAGGTTTGCAGGAGACGACACTGACAGTAACAGAAAAGGCAGTGAAGGAAGTGATGCGATTGGATGATGAGGTCTTTTCAAAATTTTACCGCCACATGACAGATATTCCCCGCAGCATGAGTAGCAGAATGCATTTGGAGGAGGACTTTGATGCCATCTTTGGAAAACAAGCGCCAATGTAATTTTTGTACTTCTTTAATAGGCTATACATACAAGCACGTACATTTATTTTTATATTGAAAAAATATTTTATACAATATAATTAATTTTTTATAAATTATAAATTATATTTATTTATTTATTTTATATATATTTATATATTTTTTTACAAAGCATATTGTATCTTTTCTTTTGCATTAAGCATTTAAAGACGCTTGTAGGCATTGAAATATTTGACATTTGAAAGACTTTGCTGTCTGACTTTTGGCCTCTCTTTGGCTTCCAGGTTGACATCGGCGATGGTGCAGCACAAGCGGGCTGTCCGTCCCTCTCGTAACGTCCAGGCATCCAGGAACCCCTTAAAGATTCTAGCTGCAAGAGACGACATCCGTCAGGAGTACACAGAGCAGAGACTGAATGTCGGGCAGCTGGAGAGCAAGAGAATTAAACAGGAGAAAAGTGAGTCGACCAGTAGTGGATGGAAAGGTGCCTCCGTTCAGTGTTGTTACCATATGCACAGTTACTTCCTGTTTTCGATAAGCCAGCTTGGGCATTTCCAGTGAACTATTAGCTGTCATTCTGCATTCGCTGTACATCGACACAAAACCATCAATATTAGACTTTTTAATGTTGTGTTTATATTTTAACGCAGTTATCACACTCACCTAATTTGCCAATAAACCAGTTTTATTCATTGCACTGCAGAGTTGAAGCTAATGCCAACATTGGAATAAGAAACACAGTGTCTAATTTGAGACGCACACGCAACATTTTTCCAGCACTTCAAATGTTATTTTAATGTGATGACCAAAAACATTATATGTTCATCCTTCTTAGATTGTCCCCATTTGTATAAGTGAACTTTTCAAGATGTAGGAAATCCAACATTTGATTGAAAACAAAAAATAGAAAAGGATATTAATTAACGCTATAACCGGTAGATTGCGGAAGAGGAGCATTTATTGGCTCATATTAGCCATTTCCTGAAATATTTTTTCACACGTTTCGCTTTTTAATAAATATGAATGATTATGAGAATCAATTATGAGAGCATATGAATAAAAATAAAATAAAAAAAATGTATGATGTGCCCGGATAATTCATTAATAATAAAGTTATCAATTTTGATTTCATGGTCTTGTCTTTAATATAAGAAGATTAATAAAACATATTTTGTTTTTTTCCTGTTGTAATGATATGGTTTTTACGTGTGTTTTCCAGTGAGCAAGAGCTCCAGTTTGTCAGACGCAGCCCTGGCTGGTCTGGCCAGTAAAGAAAGCTACAGCAGCGTGAGTCTGCGTAGTGTCAGCATCTCAGAGCAGATGACCAATAACAGCGCAGCTCCCTACAAAAAGATCATGCTCATGCAGGTCAAAGGTCAGTCTGTAGTACCCTAACACTGTGTCTAAGCAAGCATGATGTGATGCATGGAATACCAAGGGCATTTCTCAGACGGGAGGCTGCATCTCTCGGCTGCCACGTCATCAAACGTAGCTGAAGGCCAACTCAATTTGAAGGATCCTTGGAAGGCAGCCTTGGTTTTGAAGGATGCATTGGATGTATTCTTTGCAGTCTTAAATCACCCACAATCCTTTGCACACATTCCAATTCACGAAAAACGGAAAACGAGCTGTTACTGAGCTTAAGTTTATTATGAAATGTATGACAAAAATAATGTTTTCGGACATGAAAGCATAGATGTTATCTTTTGTTTTGCTGTAAATGTATCACATAAGCCCCTTTCACAGAGATTCCGGAAAATACACGGATAAAGTGACCTGGGATTTGACCCGGGTTCGTTTGATTTTGCTTCATTCACACTGCCAGTGATTTGCCGGAATCAGAGAGCGCGTTCACACACAACCCGTGTATGTTCCGGAAAGACGCGGGACGTTGGATGTGACGGGTCTCTACTTCAGTCCAGTTTGCAGAAATTTTTTCGTTCTTTCTTGTATCGATGACGAACACAAACTTTCTTCTAGAGTAACTGAGTCGCACGATAACTACGTCATTGCAAAGGCTCGTGAATCCTCACTACGACACACCCCTTATACGGCATTGGTTCTGGCTTTTGTTCACACAGCGCGCGTTCCGGGTCTGAACACGGCAATGTTACTAGGGCCCAAATCCCAAATGGCACACTTCATGTGCACTTTCGGTCTTGTGGACTTACAATGGCTGCCGCGTGCGCGTGTCCGTTAAGTCCGTGAGACCGTAGTGTGTCCCATTTGTCATTTTTAGATCTCAGAAGGGTGCTCGCGAGCGCCCCGTGCGGTCGATTTGCGCCCTTGATGCGCACTTTTGCCGAGCCCGTGCTGATGCGAACTCCACAGCAGACTTCTTCCCGACAGTCAAAGCGACATTACGTTACGAAAGTGCGGACTCAGAGGAAGCCCCCGAGTGCTTAGGGTTCCATTTGGGACAGGGCCTAGGTCCCCAACCCGGCATCGATCCCGGCATCAATCCCGGGTCGTGTTTGCGTTCACACAGAAGGCACTCTGGCAATTTTCCAGCAATTTTCCGAGTTCAAAGCGCTGTGTGAAAGGGGCTTTACTCTAAACTGACATTAATGTAAGCCACTGGCAGACCGCAGACAGCTGCCATTCACTGTATTGCATTAATAAAAAGCCAGTTAATATAAAGTGACCGTGGGGGCGGGAACATATGTGACGTAGCCATGCATACTTACTAGACCGTTTCATTCTAGCGTTTAATGCTGGGGAGGACACTAGACTACAAGCCTCAGAAGGACTGAACTAGGAACTAGGAAGGACACAGGTTCAGTAGGATGCAGCTTTCCGTTTGAGAAACACCCCAAGTGTTACATGGAATAAGCTGCATAGCCCCGCCCACAGCAAATTCCTATTGGTCCAAACATCAAATGTGTTCTGATTGGCTTCGGAAAGCCTTTCACTTTTAGTAAATGACTTAAATAGCATTACTCTTGATTAGAATGCTGCAAAACACCAACAAGAGGCATGGAATATGATATAAATAGTTATATAGTAATGTATTACTGCAGTTTTTAATTGTTTGTGTGAGTTAAACTCTACGTGCATGTATGTTCCCCAGGTCGACGACATGTCCAGACCAGACTAGTGGAGCCTAGAGTGTCCTCTCTGAACAGCGGTGACTGTTTTCTACTGGTTACGCCTGAACATTGTTTCGTTTGGATTGGAGAGTTTGCAAATGTCATTGAAAGAGCCAAGGTACAACCTGACTTATATTCTGACATCTTACTCATGTTATTCTTCATATGATCAGATAGCTTTTTACATTACTGTTGTATTGTACCGCTTGACATCTAGGCATCAGAACTGGCCACTTTCATCCAGCTGAACCATGACCTTGGTTGTCGGGCAGCACTGGTGGAGACGATTGAAGAAGGAATGAAATCACAAAGCCCCGCAGCTGGAGAGTTCTGGAAGATCCTGGGAGGAACAGCCAGCTACCAATGTACATACCCTGCCTGAAATCAAAAAGATACCATTTATGTGCTATTATCTTAATTGAAATTAATATTATTTTTCCCTCTATGCGTGCAATGATCACAGCGACCGGGTCTCCAGACGAGGATGAGATGTTTGAGAGTGCCATTGTGGAGACAAACTGTATCTTCCGTCTAGTGGATGATAAACTGCTTCCTGATGATGATTCCTGGGGGAAAGTGCCTCGTAGCACACTATTGGGATCTAAAGAGGTCAGAAAACAATATGTTGTGTATTTTTAAAAAATATTGTAGAAACATCTTCATACATTATTTTTTATTTTTGCATAAATATAAAATAGATTAATATTCTTTGCATTTTGTGGTAACTTTATATTTACCAATATTTATTTTATGTAATGGACCCATTTCACATTTCCACGGTTCTCAGAAGTGACATTCCAACTTTCCAAAAGAGGGAAAAAAGTGTAGTGAGTGATTTATAGCAGTCAGAAGAGAGAATGATGTCAAATTAGCTGTCACTCCCTATGCTGTTGTATTAGAAACACTGACGCTGCAGTGTTAATTTGTTGTTTGTGTTTTACTGCCATGGTAATATATCACAAGGTATAGTGTTATAAATGTATATAAAAAAAAATGTAAATGTGGAAAACGTGTTATCACAGTCTATGAAAAGGGTCCATTGTGTGAATTGAACATTCTCAAAAGTTTTTTTATAATAAGTTATTTTTAATAAGTTCTCTTATTTTATTTAATAATAATAAAGCTTTTTCCCCATTTCGGAGAACCATATATTCATCTGAATATATGTATGCATTTCCACTGGCTTTCAAAATATAAATATATATATATACATACATATATATATATATATATATATATATATATATATATATGTATGTATGTATATGTATATGTGTATATGTACGTATATGTATATCTTTTTTTTTTTTTTCACATCTTACACATTTTGGCTATTTTGTATTAACATTTTTGTACTGTGTATTATTTTATGTCTGCATTAACATTGTGGTGAAATATGAAATAGATTAACATTATTTGAATTTTGTGGCAACTATGTTTATCATTATGATTTATTTTATACAAATGGATGAATTAAACAGTTAGCATATTCTTTTCTATTTTGCATGTTTTGTTATATTTAATAATAAGACTTTTCCCCATTCAGGGCAACCAATTTTTCATCAAAATAAATGTGAATAATATATAGTATATATCATATATATTTGTTTTTCTTGGCTCTCATTTTCTCATTAGGTGATAGTGTTTGATTTCGGTAGTGAAGTGTATGTATGGCATGGTAAAGAGGTCACACTGGCACAGAGGAAGGTGGCGTTTCAGCTGGCCAAGCACCTTTGGAACGGGAACTTTGATTATACCAACTGTGACATCAACCCTCTGGACCCTGGAGGACACAACACACTCATACCAAGGTGGGTACACTACACACATTTAAAGCAATTCACTTGAATTATCCACTTAAATTCATCTTACAATTTGTTTTTGTGTAACTTTATAGTCAGTGTAAATTTGTGTTTTTTTTTATTTATTTTTAGGAAAGGTCAAGGTCGCCCAGACTGGGCCATATTTGGCAGACTGACTGAACATAATGAAACAAGTCTTTTTAAAGAGAAGTTCCTGGACTGGAGAGATGTTTCTAGACTCTCACCTAAAAGTGTCATCGAACACCCATTCCAACAGAAGGTGGGTGGCTGTGTGTTAGTATCTGCTTTTTCCCACACAAAAAAAATCAGCTGGACAGAAAGGAAAAAATCCTTTGACATTCATTACAGTGATGGGAATTGTTAGGAATGTAATGAAATAATAAGAATAATTTAGTGTTATAGTGAATTAAATAGTGATTCCCAACTGTTCCTTTGATTTGATCACAACTTTTTCTTTTTCTTTTTTCTTTTCTCTTTCTCTTCTTTCAATCCCTCTTGTTGCCCATCTCAGGAGTCTCCAGGCACAGATTCTCGTTCGGAATGCCAGGCGTACAGCGCCTCTCTGATGCTGCCAGTCCTGCAGTCGCCCATCAGCACGATTCTGGACGGTCAGGACGTGGGTCGTGGACACGGCCCAGTGGAGAACAGCTCGGACGACTGTCTGCGGTCCCTGGAGATCAGCACGGTTGCCGTTGATGTCTGGCACATCCTGGAGTTCGACTACAGCCGACTGCCCAAGCAGAGCATCGGCCAGTTTCACGAGGGAGACGCGTATGTGGTGAAATGGAAGTACATGGTGAGCGCTGCAGGTCAGTAACTGCACCCGGACAAATGAACTGTGATTTGTCTCTTCTTGCGTTTATTCAAATGCTGTAGGTGTTTGTCAACGTACATTGTGCAGGAAAATATAGCTATTTTGCTTATTGGAATAGGAAGTTGTTGATTGACTGCTTTATTGGTAACCCGCAGAACTGCGGTGAAAGTGTAACATTTCATTTGGTAAAATCCATTTTTCCATAATATAAGCATTCTGTTTAGGCTTTTACATAATCTCATTCCTTTTATATATAAATATATGTACATGTGTATATATACATACACTGCCCTGCCCAAATTTAAATAGGCAAATGCTTAAGGGTCTGTGACTGGATCATTATTGCAGTGATTATTATGTTTCTAGCATGTTATATGTTTGGCAATAGTTCTTCTAACCTTCTAAAAAGCTAAGTGTGTAGCTTTTCATTTCCTAAATGTGCTGGAGTAGACTTTACAGACTTTACATCACAAGATTTATTTCCATCAAGATGTGCATCAATTTTTGGTCCAGATCTTGTTTTGTCAATGCAAGAGTCCAGCACTCTGTAAAGTCTCCTTCAGCACATCCCAAAGACTTTCAAGGAATTTAAGGTCTGGATTCAGTGGAGCATCAATTCATGTGTGAAAATTATTATTCATGCTCCTTCCAACCATTCTTTCACAATTTTAACCCTGATGAATCTTGACATTGTCATCCTGGAATATTGCCATGACGTGGTTTCCTACATGGTTGTTTAAGAAATTAAAAGCGACACACTCCTTCTATTAGGGTTAGAAGAACTGCTGCCAAACATTTAACATGCTAGAAACATAATAATCACTGCAATAATGATCTAATCATAGAATCTTAAGCATTTGCCTCAGCATTTAAATACAAACAGTGACTTTTTTGGCCATGCTGTATACCTGTATATAAAATATTGGTGTGCGTGCATGTCCGTGCGTGTCCGTGTCGTGTGTGTCCGTGTGCAGTGGGCAGCAGGCAGAAGCCGGATCAGGTGCGCAGTGCAGGTCCCGGCAGGGAGAAGTGCTGCTATTTCTTCTGGCAGGGCAGAAACTCCACGGTCAGTGAGAAAGGAACATCTGCACTCATGACTGTTGAACTGGACGAAGAGAGAGGAGCACAGGTAGGACGAGATGCTGGACTAAACGTGGTTGACTGCTTTCTGCTCCTCTCTTTCTCTCGCTCACTGCTGCTGTGACTCGTATTCAGATGCAGGTCCAGCAGGGGAAGGAGCCGCCCTGTTTCCTGCAGTGTTTCAATGGGGGGATGACCGTGCATTCTGGGAAGAGAGAAGAAGAAGAGGAGAACATTCAGAGTAAGAGTTTTAGGGGATTTTAGGATTGGCAGACTGCCTAATACTTGTGTAGAAGTACTATATATTATGCATACTCATCATAGTACGTGCATTTATTGTATTCATGGATTTCCCAAAATGTGCAAATATAACCACAGCACATAGTGAAGCAATGTACACAATGTAGTGCACTTGACTTGACCTTCCGTTTCCCCATGTCATGTGCGACACAGAAGCACATGACATGGGGCTTGAATGGGGCAAATGATTCCTCATTTATTCAAACTGTTAATGTTTTTACACAATATTGGATTAAAAATGTAAAAACAGCCATATTCTTTTCTATAAGATACCTTGCTTGCTTGCAAGTAATGAACTCATGTGAGAACAATATAGTAATCTTTATCCATGCAAACCATTTCAAGTACTATTATTATTAAACATGGTATACTGTGCAAGCAGTACACCAGCATATTAATTTAATATTTTACTGTTTGACCCTGTTTTAGATGATTGGCGTCTGTACTGTGCGCGTGGTGAGGTACCCGTTGAGGGCCACCTGTTGGAAGTGGCGTGTCACTGCAGCAGTTTGCGATCTCGCACCTCATTGGTTCTTCTGAACATCAACAAAGCCTTCATTTACCTGTGGCATGGCTGCAAAACACAAACACACACACGGCATGTAGCTCGAACCGCCGCAGACAAGATCAAAGAACAGTAAGTATTTCACACACAAAATCATTAGATATACACAACACATGAACAAGGATGCATTAAGTTCAAAAGTCACAGTATAGACATTTATAGTTTTCCAAAACATTTCTATTTCAAATAAATGCTGTCATTTTGGACTATCTATTCACCAAAGAATCCCGGGAAAGAATGCATCACGGTTTCCACAAAAATATTAAGCAGTGCAACTGTGTTTAACAATGATAATAACTTATTATTATCATTGTTAAACACAGTTGCACTGCTTAATATTAGCTTAAAAATCAAGAAATGTTTCTTGAGCAGCAAATCAGCATATTAGAATGATTTCTGAAGGATCATGTGACAAGGACTAGAGTAATGATGCTGAAAATTCAGCTTTGCCATCACAAGAATAAATTACATTTTAAAATGTTTTCAAAAAGAAAATATTTATGTGTACTAATATTTCACAATATTACTGTTTTTACTTTAATTTTGATCAAATAAATGCAGCTTCTGTGAGCATAAGAGACTCAAACTATTAAAATATCTTACTGACCCCTAACTTTTAAACAGTGGTGCATATTAAATCTATTAACCAATGATATAATGTCTTCTTGATGTCATATTTTCCATTTCAGAAAGTTTTTTTGATTGAAATCTGACTCATATTTGTGTTTCCAAGACGACCGCTGGAGGCTGGACTTCACAGCAGCTGTAATGTGACCATTCATGAATGTGAGGAAGGTGGCGAGCCAATGGAATTCTGGGAAGCATTAGGCAGGAAGGACCGTAAGGCCTACGACTGCATGCTGCAAGGTAACACACACCGGTGGTGAGTGAGGAGGAGAGTTGGGTGATTTTGTAAGTCTGTGATGAGTTTATATTTCCCTCAGTCCAAAATCGCGCCAAAAATAATCTATCTCCAGCATAACATGTTCATATGGAAGCGCATTTCCACCACATGAGAAGAAAAATGCTTTAAAAAATCATAATTATCAGATATAAAGTCACAATTATGAAATATTGAAATTGACAAAAAAAAGGTAACACTTTACTTGAAGGGGTGTGCATAAGACTGACATGACACCTTCATAACCATGACATGACATATCTCATGAATATGAAGTAGGGTTTATGCATGTTTATGACAACTTTCATTAAGTGTCTTTCGCTCAATAATGACATTTTGAATGCAAATATGACATTGTTTAAGATGTCTTTGTTATGACATCTTGACATAAACCATAACATCATAACCTGTCAGTGTCTTTGTCATGACAACTTGACATTAAATTAAATTAAACTGTCATGTGGTTGGTTTTGACACTGGCTGTCATGAGGCCATTATAACTGTGTCATGAATATTTTTCGTGACCTCAACTACAGTGGTACAAATTGAATTTGTCATTAAAAAGTTATAATGGCTTCATGACAGCCAATGTCAAAACCAACCACCTGACAGTTTAATGTAATGTTAACCAATAAAGCTAAATGGTTTCTTAAGTTTGATAATTAATCTGCTAGCTCATGTTTATGACAGGTTGTGTTGTCTTAGTAATGTCAAATTGTCATGACAGATACACTGACAGGTTATGATGTATTTGTTTATGTCAAGGTGTCATAACAAAGACATTTCAAACAATGTCGTATTTGCATTAAAAATGTCATTACTGAGTGAATGACACTTAATGACAGTTGTCATAAACATGCATATAATTTCCTTCATATTCATAACGTCATGTCATGAATATGAAGGTGTCATGTTAGTCTTATGCACACCCCTTCAAGTAAAATGTTACTAAATTAAAATTAAATTTTTTTTTTCTTATTTGGTGGAAATGGCCTTACATATGTTCACGAGTCATAATGCAAATTTATATCATAAGAATTCATGGACTACTATCACTCAGACTCAAACAAAAGATTTGACCAGAAAGACCTTTTTTCTCTGCTTCAAAAAAAAGAGCTTTTTCTGTGTTTTTATTTTTATCTTTCTCTCTTTTTGTAGACCCTGGCAAGTTTAACTTCACGCCGCGTCTGTTCCAGCTCAGTAGTTCTTCGGGAGAGTTTGTGGCGCTGGAGTTTTTCAACCCATCCAGAGCTGCAGACCTTGTTTGTTCCCTGCCGTTCCTACAGGAGGATCTGTACTCTGCCCCACAACCAGGTAAAAATATATGATACACTTGAACTATTTTATCTCAGACAGGAAATAATGAGTCATATAAAACAATGCATGTGTTTTTCTCTCTCTGTCTGTTTCTAGCTCTGTTCCTAGTGGATAACTATCATGAAGTCTACCTGTGGCAGGGCTGGTGGCCTCAGGATGCAGAGAGTACCGGCTCTGCCCGCATCCGCTGGGACTCAGACAGGAAATGTGCTATGGAAACAGTGTTGCAGTACTGCAGAGGTGATTGACAGCCTTATTAGACAACAATTTTTTTCAATCTTCCAGCAAATCAGAGGCGTGCATCTAAACAAGCACCTTGTAATGATGGATATGCTGCTTCAGATGCAGTTCCTGTTCCATTTATGCTATGTACACAGATATCTGATGCCTCTTCTTGTCTAGCAGAGAAGAACGAGAAGAAGCCTCAGAAGTCGTACCTGATTCATGCTGGACTGGAGCCTCTGACCTTCACAAACATGTTCCCCAACTGGGAGCACAGAGAGGATATTGCTGAAATCACAGAGAGGGTGAGACACTCAATGTGTGTTGTGTCTCTAAATTTCTTTAGGTCTTCTCCAAACCATGGTAAGCTTTCTAACTAGACAGTTTCAGGCTTCATAGACAGTGTTGGGGAAAGTTACTTTTAAAAGTAATGAGTTACTTCTTTAAAAAGTAACTAATTGTTAATTTTTATGTAAAGTAATATGTTACAATACTTTTTGTGATGAATTATCATCACTTACTTTTTATCACCTGGGCTGGTTTTCCTTTTCTTTTTTTTTTCTTTTTTTATTAACAAGAAGAAAAAAATCGAATGAAAAGTTTTGTTTTTGGCAAATGTTAAGGCCCTTTCACACCAAAAGTGCAAATGCAAAAGGAAATGCAAATCCATGCCTGTACAGTAAAGAGCAGAGCTCAACTAAACATTTCAGCTGTACTGCCATTCTCGGTTTTAGAAGAAATAAAGCCACAGGAGAAGAAAGTTCAACGGTCCAGCAAGAAACTAAAAACAACTGGATCGTCGAAGATCAGCAACAAAGACATTGGTTAATAAAGTGAGATTAAATACATAAAGTATATTTTTATTATTTAACATATTTAGTTATTGCAGATTTGCTTAATATTCTGAGTTTGCATTTCACACTTCTCATTCATTTTGAGAAGTACTGAATGTGTTTTTGTGCAAGTGAGGTGAGTAACTATAGTAGAACTGGAACTACAATAACGTTATTGTTCCAACAGGAAGGAAAATTACATAATTACATAAGTGGTCTCTCCCTCCCCCCCAATTGTCAACAACAATATACAAAGGCCCCATGACTTTTACCAACATTTGTTCAGTAGTTACAAGGATTTAAAAGTAGTTTGTATTTATACCCCATACAATATTTTTGAGCTTGGCTAGAAACTAGAAAACTGTAATGGATCTAATACAATACATAATTTACAGTGAAAAAAACGTAAATTAAAATTTCCAGAACTCTCTGTGACAGCTCAATTTTTTTCTTATCAGTTATGTACAATAGGGTTTTATGTGTTATATAATTTTGTTTAAATTATTGTTTATTGCATGAATTTCATCTTGTGTGTATTATGTTAATTTGTACATGACACTGTGTGAACCCTCTATACATTAGTATTTAGCTCCGCTTGTGTAAAAGCCACGTGTTATGAACTTTGATTTATCATATGGCTTTCTCAATACAACATGTGTTTTTAAGGTGCTTGTCAGTATATTATATAGGTAATCTATTTTAGATTATAACAAAACATATTTTGTACATTTATTTGAATCTTTAAAACTTTATATGTTACTAGTATATTTTTATGGTAAAGTTCTGGCTACCACAGCTGCTGGTTTTACAGTAAAGTTCACGGATTGGCTTCCTCACACATGTTTGTGTGTCTGTGTGTGTGTGTGCAGGAGGCAGAGGTGTGTAACCAGATCATTTTAGTGGAGGATGTTTTGGCTCGACTCTGTCAGAGCACCTATCCTCTAGAAACGCTGCTAACCCGTCCCCTTCCCCACGGCGTCGACCCTCTGAGAATCGAGATGTATCTGACCGATGAGGACTTTGAGGTAAGGCCGTACACAACTATGAGACAGATTGCCTGTACAGCCTGGGATTTATGTAAAAAACACATAAAATGGATACAAAAAAGTTTACGTTCCAGAATAATATTTTCATATATATATATATTGATCTTTTCATAAACAATTTTTATTTGTTTTTGTTTATATGTCAATACAGAATAACATATCTTCAGCGTTGAGAGATATATATAAATATATACAGTACTGTGCAAAAGTCTTAGGCACACTAGTATTTTCGCCCCAAAGCAATGGTGTTAAGTCAGTTATTTATATCTTTTGCTGCAGTGTGGCAATTAATGGTAAAATTAATGTTTTACCTACTGACACACCACAGCAAAAGATATAAATTACTGACCTCATTTTTTGTGTGTGAAAATACTAACGTGCCTAAGACTTTTACACAGTAGTGTGTGTGTGTGTGTATACATATATATACATATAACATATATATGTATATATATATATATATGTATACATGTTTTTTTGTTTTTTTTGCAACACTTGTCCCTGCTTTTATTCCAGACATTAAATATAACCAACAAACAATCTAAAATATCAAACACTGTAATAAAGTAACAAAAAACAATCCAAAATTCAAATCACCGTAATTCAATATGGGGGGAAAAAAATGACAAATTACCAATTAACCAATTATGTAAACCCTAAAATAATGTATGCTCACAAGATTGATTCTGTATAAACCAGTTTATAATAGGTATATAGATTTTTCAGTTCTGTTTATCCTTTAAATTCTATTGGTAAATACAATTGGTTGAGTAGGTTGCTCAGCCTATGATTGGCTTGCTTAAAGTATGACATGACTAGATACTAAGAATGGAATGTTTTGCCGTTTTAGGCGGGGAAGTAGGGAATTCCGAATAGGTAAGTATCTCTGAAATTGACTGATGTCACAGGGATCAATTGTTTCTATGCTAACTACTCAAGTACCATTTCCTGACAGCCTCACTTTTATGCTTCGTCTTCCTCCCTGTGTCCTACTCACGTTGGAAACCTCTTCTTGTCCTGCTGAATCCAGGAGAGCTCTTTGATACCCACATTAAACCACACAAGCACACATGCATGCACACAAACACAATGTGAACATGTTTCCTCACAAGCTATTTTTTTCCCAGCAATAGTTGACACGTTTCTGGGAATGTTTTTCTGAAAGCACAGTGTCCTAACTAGGCGTGACATGATAAAAAAGCAATAAATCATCTCTTCCGCGTCAGTGTCGCACAGATAGCAATTTGCTTTGATAAAGCAACCAAAAGTAATTCATTTTCAGTGAGATTCAGCTAGACCTTTGGACCAATGCAGCAATTATTATATGTTTATTAAATATTATTAGTTGCACATAAAACCATCAACTCTGATCAAATTTGTGTTTTAATAGGACTGCATTTTGTCCACACTGTGTTTTGATGAAATCTTTCTGTGGTCTTATTTTAATATAGATGATCACAGTTAATATGCATGTGAGGTCTGCCATTGGTCGGCACACCATTGGTTGAGTATGTTGCTCAGTCCATAATTGGCTTGCTTAAAGTTGTCTCTGCACATTGTGCTATGATAAGAGAAAGTATTTTTAGACAACACATCATTTTTAATCTACATTTCTGCACAAGCAGCAAGAAGATAACCCTCCCCCACCCACAGGGAATTTTAATGGGTCTAAAGTCCCATCTATCTGTAAATGAATGTCAAATATTTTCCATTTCACTGTGATTTATGTTGCATTTTGCCTTGTGTGGACAGAAAAAGTTACTTTGGAAACACAATGTGCCTAGATAGGACACTGTGCTACTGTAACCCTTTTCTCCTGCTTTTTCTGCTAATTTAAGATTCTTTGTGCACATGTACAATACCATTCAAAATACTGGAGTCAGTAAGAGTTTTTTTATTTTTTGAAAGAAATGAATACTTTTATATAGTAAGGAGGACACATTACATTGCTCAAAAATGACAGCAAATACTTTTATGATGTTACAGAAGATTTCTATTTAAAATAAATTGTTCTTTTAGACATTCTAATAATCAAAGAATCCTTAATATAAATGAATCATGATTTCCAGAAAAATATTAAGCAGCACAACTGTTTTAAACATTGAAAATAATAAGAAAAGTTTGAATGAATTCTGAAGGATCATGTGACACTATAATGCAGCCATTACTCCAGTCTTCAATGTGTTACCATAAAAACGGTAACTCAGCGAGCTAAATTTTTTATTTGATCAACTTCAAATTTGAAACGCAACGTAGACAGATGGCCTTGATTTGTATGCAATTTTAGAGTGCAGATTATTTTGTAAAATATATATTTAAATACAAATATTTAGTTCAATACACTTGCTTTATTGTAAACGTAAACTTCTATAACCTTTTTAGACTTTCTGTAATAATCTGCTGAGTGTCGTCTTTTAAAAGAGACCACCTTAGGTCTGTATTCCACAGCATTCATAAAATGCAGCCATTGATAGTTTTCCCAAAAATCTAATTTTCTGTCATTAATGACTCACCCTCATGTCGTTCCAAAGGCGCAAGACTTTCGGTCATCTTCAAAACACAAAAGCAGATATTATAAATGTATATTATATGCAGATAATATGAACTTTTTCAATGGAGGGACAGAAAGCTCTCAGATTTCATCAAAAAGATCTTCATTTTTTCCCCCGAAGATTAATGAAAGTCTGTCGTGTTTGAAACGACATGAGGGTGAGTAAATAATGACTCTGGGACATGACTCTGAATTTGGGACAGTTATTTTAAATTGTAGAAATATTTCATAATATTACTGTTTTTGCTGTATTATCTTACCACCCCCAAATTTTGAATGGTAAGTGTATTTATATTTATATGCCAGTGTGTTTCTCTCCCTTCCCTCATTGTAATATTGTCTGTGTTCTCAGAGAGTGTTAGACATGAAGAGAGAAGAGTTTGACCTTCTGCCTGGATGGAAGCAAGTGAACCTCAAAAAAGCCAAAGGACTCTTTTAAAAGCCTGACGAAATCGAATTATCACTGTCCATTTCCACCATGACCACTGGTTCTGCGGTCGCCTCTGCATTGTGACCTCTTTCGGTTAATGGAGGTGTTTGTTCAGAGAGCAGGGTAAACGGTCAGGTCAAAGGTCACTTTAGGATCTACAGATGCACCTGCTGTGGCGTCCTCTTTTGATGTATCTATTAAGTCCGTGGAAGTGACGTCTGTGTGTGTCAGTGTGTGTCCTCGCCTCGTTCATGTACAACGATTAGCAGTCTGTGAGTATGTTTATCTCTTGAAGTACATGGAATCAAATACTTCGCTCACCTTCCCATCCGGTCCGATCTGCAATGTGTGTTTGTTGTTACATGTACGTTTGATAAATCTGCTGATAAATTGGAAATTGTATAAACTTTGTAGCAAACAAAGAAAATCCTGTGTGATCGCTCTTAATGTTGTCATATGTCTTAGGATATTTCTTTTTGATTCAAGAGGAGTTTACATGGCGCGTCTGTATTTTGTGTGTGTTCTTGTGTGAATGGCTGTTGCTTGTGGTGGTGATGGTCTCTTTTTCCTGAGGTGTGAGGGACGTCATGTTTGTTTGTATTCGGACAGCATGGAGTAATGGACGAGAGAAAGAAAAGATATTAATTTAAATGTACAGTATAGTGCCTTGCTTTTGTGTACAGTTTCTATACCAAACACACTCTATAGTCTGCATTTCAGACACTTTCTTTGTGATAAAAGAAATAGTGAATAAAGAAAGCATATTCAAATCAGTTTTTTCCTCTGTCTTGTATTATTTTTCACCAATTTTAGGGACAAAGAAGTGGGGAAAATATGTATTTTGGATTGATCTGTTCAGCATGTTCAGGGGAATTCAATTACACAAATGTATATCAATGTGGGTCAACGGCGTCAGAGACTAAAGCAATACTGTCATGTCAAATATTTACATAAATGTAAATATTTCGAAAGTAGCATTCCATTTGAGTGTATGTAATAAAAAAAGTCTACAAACCCGTTAAAACGTGTAAAAAATGAAACGAAGATGAATTATATCAGCACCTTTAATGTAAAAATTACAACCTATAGCCTACAATGCCACTGAAAACCAAAGTGACACATTTCTGATAAAAAAAGATGGCATATTAATAAAAAACCTTAAACTGCATTCTATTAAGAAAGAGTTGAGTGTATAGGATGGTTTCAAAGTGATTTAGACACTGTCAAAAAAAAAAAATGATGTTGCCCACTTAAGGCTGGTCTCGTTGTCAAATTAAAAGTGAAAGTATTTCCCTCTCAGGCATCACTGTCTGCTCAAGCTCGCAGGATACACAGCGATGTTCAAGCGCCTGGTAAATATAGCGTTTATTCTTGACTTGACTAATGATCATTTAAAAAAAAAGTAATAAGACCACCGAATCACAGTATTTCCTGTGATGTGATCTATTAAACATCTATAGTTACAAACACAAGACGTACGTAGCCTACTTTTATTACGTTTAGAAAATGTTCTACATTTCATTTTACACGTAGCCGATGACATGTAACTTTTCTCCAGAGTTGATAAGATGAACTAATTTATAATAGGCTACTAATGAATTTTACAACGGAATTGAATCAACACCGAACTAACTTGAGCTGGACAATGCCTTTCTTCTAGAGCTGCTGTAGCTACAGCCAAAATAAACTTTGTTGCCTTATTTTCCAGTTTATCACTGTAAAGCTGGTTTGAAACAATCTGTATTGTAAAAAGCGCTGTAAATGTAACTACTTATAATTAGATTTCTTCGTCAGTTTTAAGTGACAGCCTACTTGACTGGTTTTACCACAAATCAGTTATTTAAAATAACATTTAGCCTAATAATATACATTTGCACAACATATCATTTAAGCGAAACTAAACTGAAAAGTTGCGAATTGAATGATGAATAGATGAAAGTAAAAGGATGACCACTCGTCATTGTAGGCTACTTTATGAAGTCCTCACGCAAATACTAAAAAATGATGGACGTGGTGTTCAGCGTGACACCGGCAGAGGGCGCTACATGAATCCAAGACTTTTCTTAGCCTTCTTAGCTAACGTATTTTTCTTTCTCTTCAGTTCGTTCGATTTAAGAAATGCTTGTTGTTGTCGTAAATGACTTAACAACATACTATTAAGAACACATGTCCTCTTTAATATATGGGCCATTCTACAGAAATGGTGCAAACTGCTGTTCCACAACCAAAAAACACATTTAAAGAGCATAAAAAACACCACGCCCATAATTTTTTAGTACTTGCGTGAGGACTTCATAAAGTAGGCTACAATGAGTGGTCATCCTTTTGCTTTCATCTATTCATCACTCAATTCGAAACTTTTCAGTTTAGTTTCGCTTTTTACAAAGATCCTTCTGTTATCTATTGAATCCCACAGTAATATTTTAAATATCAGTGAACTTAATATATATAAAATCATAATTTATTTGGGTACTTTCTATTGGGAGGTGGCTGTCCCCTAACCCCTAAATTTCAACTTTGGAAAAAACTGAGAAAAACATTTGAATATCACTTTCACTTGTTGTTTTTAAATATATATATTTCTTTTAAAAAGCGAAGTAAAAAAAAAGCATTTATTTTATATTAATTTTTAAATCATGAAACTTTATGTAAAACAATGTGTCCCGCATTTTCATGTCACAACGAATCAGTGTGTTTTAGTCCATTGGCTGAGACTGATTTTAACCATACCCCTACATTTTTGATCAGTAAATATTCCTGTGTCCCTTTCTCTCATAGCCTCTCTTTCATTGCAGATAGGTATGCCATCATTTTGAGGGAAATGTTCAAAAGTCTGAAAATCTGTGTGTAACTTTAAGGAACGTCAGTACCAAACACTTTTTTTCTGCAATTAAGCAAACTTTTTTGGGTGTTATTCCATAAAATGTAGTTTTTATGTGTGTACAACTGTTCAGAACTGTGCTAGGTAACCATGTGCTGGTTATCATCTTTGAACTAGGCTCAAAAGTATCTAAAATTGTCACTACCGAAACATGTGGTGAAGTTTTGGTTATGACATCATGTTTTTTTGAGTGTTATTCGATAAAATTTAGTTTTTTTTTGTGTGTACAACCATGTGCTGATTAGCATCTTTGAGTTAACAGAAACAGTCATGACCGAAACATGTCAGCATTGTTTTGGTAGTGAATAAAGGGAACATATAATCATTTATTTGGGGGAAATAAACAAAATTTTAGTACAGTTATGCAAATCATTAGTATCTTAGTATGTTTTAGTAGTGTTTTAGTATGTGAGCTAAAATTCTGTAATGTGATGTGGTCGCTACCAAAGCATTACTGTCACTACCGAAAATGTACCGTCACGACCGAAACATGCATGTTTTGTCTAAAATAAAGTATATTGAATTATCAACTAAGATGATGATAAAGTGTTTCGTTCAATAGATTCAAACTAATGAATCCTTAACTTTGAAATCAGTATGATTAACTTAATGCCTTTTACAAAGAAAGATTGGATTAAAAATACAACAAATCTTACAGTATAAATTACATTTGAAATATTGTAAAAATATATATTGATTTACCTGAGAAAACTTTTTTTTTTAAATAGCAAAAAATATATTTAGAAGATAGATGTGAACAAAATATTAATAGGTCAATATAAGCCTCCTTATTAATTTATTTATTATTGTGTTTCGGTAGTGACAAATTTGGGGAGAGGAAAAATATTTCAAAACTTTCTGAAAATACAATATGATAATTACAATTACTAGAAATGTGTCCCTTGGATTTTATACAATTTCCATACATACAAAATTTGTGGCAAAAGACTCATTTGTTTTCAAGACGTTTCCAACTCTGACTTTGAACCAATTTTATAGAATGGCCCATATACATAGGCTACTCCAACCCGTTCTTGTTGTCAAAAGATGTGGCCTAGTCCTTAATTTAACCATGGCCAACTAGTTGTTCAAATGTAAACAATAATGTAATAATATCCAAATAAAATTTTAACATAGTATCGAATTTAAGAAGCTTTCAGACTCTTTTTAGCCTGGGAAAACCCAGACAACTTCCGGCAAATTTAGATTTGCTCTGAAAGTTAGTCTGGCAGAGAGCTCATTCAAGCCCATTTCCAATCCGCCGAAATCGAGGCACCAATCAGAAACGTTGGGGCGGGCTTTACACGATGACGACAGCGCTGGGATTTTGAAGCAGATTTTGTAGCCTACATTACAAAGATGGATGCCGCCGTCGAACATCACTCGTTCCAATCAGCTATCGCGTCCAAAAACCGAGCAAAGAACAACACTCGGAGATGTTTCTCTGCCGCTCTGCATACGTCATCTCCTTCATCGCTCTGATTGGGTTTAGGTCTATCCGCGACGTCCGTTGGTGACGCCCCTCTGGAAATGATTTGTCTATGACGCTTTGCCAGACCATAACTCAGTTACAACTGACAATGGTCTGGTTTTAACCAGGCTAGACTCTTTTAGTCATTGTTTATAATAGTGCTTGCTACTGTCAGGTTACCATGGTTCCCTTTCGTAGTCACTACGAGTTACGTTGTGACGACGAAATGGGGTTTCACTTAGAAAGCCTATCAACTTCGAGTATTACAAAACGAGCCAATGGCAAAGAAATGCCATGGGTCTGCGGATTTTGCATAGCGTAACTCCGCCCCACCTCGTGGGTATATAAGGAAGTACGCTGGCAACATGCAGTTATGTTTTTGCTTCGGAGCCAAGAGGTCCTCTTCACTCCTGCAGCCTATTCATACTTTGCACGTGACGTCACAAGTACTGGCTGGCGGGCAAGAACGTCGTTCTCCAGCAACGAAACCCAGTAAACTAATCAAGGATCTTGCCAGGACGTCGCCAGTTTTACTACACAAAAGTTGGTGTTTTGAGGTTTGTGATATCTATGGTTTTCAATGAGAACCAGAGATGACCCAACAATAGAGCTAGATTATTTATGGAGGAATTATTACTGCTCGATTATCTTAAAAAACCTTGTCTGCTTTACACAATTTAGCTACCTTGGAGTTAATCCTATTTCTAGTCCATAGTTATGCAGCTAGCTCGCTAACAGACTTGATAGCTACTAAAAGACCCATAAGACCTGGAACTACAGGACTCTACGTTGAAAATACCCGTTTGTTGCCCGCCAGGTATCCATGGTAGTCACGTGACTGCAAAGTATGAATTCTCTGACTATCTTCGAGAATCTTCTAGACGAGCAGCTTCCAGTCGGTGTTGGTGTGATGGCGTATTCCAGCAGTTTCACTGCAACAGCGTGTGTGCTTCTCCCCGGGCGCTTCAGCACTCTCTCATAAAAAGAGCTTGCATGTGGCACATCTTTTTAAAGCCGTTCTGCCCGTGTATTCCTGAGTGCGATAGATTCAGCTGATGGGCACGAACGCTGTTTGACGTGTGTGGGCTTTGCTCACGCTCAGACAGCATTCATAGATACGTCATGTTATCACTGTCCCGAGGTGGGCACGGCAACAAGGCACGCTCCGAGTACCAGTTACTCCGACCTGCCGTCAAACCTTCACCCCGTGGACGAACCTCAGCTTTCTACGGGCCGGAGTGCCCTTAGAACGAGTTTCCAGGCATGTTGTTGTCTCAACAGATGCCTCCCCCACGGGCTGGGGTGCCATGTGCAATGGACATGCTGCCGCGGGCACCTGAACAGGACCCCAGCGCCTATGGCATGTCAATTGCCTCGAATTGCTGGCAGTACGTCTCGCTCTGCACCGCTTCCATGCATTG